CAAAAGTATCCAGAGTATCTTGATGTAAACAAGAAGGAACAGGCAAAGTTTCCAAACAATTCTCTTTATAGGCCACATTTTCACAGACTAAAAGTACAAAGGACATAAGATCTTATTGTATTCGTTAATTATTAAAAAAAAGCATTTAACTCAGCAGAAAAGCAACTTTTAAAGCTCTCTTCCAACAAGCTATCTCCAATGTATACATTTTTCATTTGGATTCTGTTCAATAAATATGGTCCAATTTAGTGTGAAATACCTTCCTGTTTTAGGTCTTGATATTAAGAGAGGAGCCCCTTCAAGATATTAAGAGAGCAGCCCCTTCAAGAGTTATCTGAAGAGGAAGGCACTCCTCTATTAACAAAAGGCATGTAGAGGAAGGTATCTGCCACTAAATTGGACAGTATTTATTGGACAGAGTCCAAATGGAAAATAGATTCCCTATATATGGGAAGGCCCTCCAGACATTCCAGTTTGTAGATGACATAGTGCTGATTACATCAAGGTGGCAAGGTAGATACAATCCAGGCCTAGAGTCAGGAGACCTGAGTTCAAATTCAGCCTCAGACACTAGCTGTGTGATCCTGGGCAAGTCATTTAACCTATTTGCTGCAGTTTCTTCAAATGTAAAATACAATAATTAGCATCTACGTTGTTGTAAGATCGAATAAGATATTTGTAAAGCCCTTAGTACAGCGCTCGGCATGTGGCAGGCACTTTAATAAATGTTTGTTTCTTTCCTTCCTTTTCTTCTTTCCTTCTTTCTTTTTTTTGATGATATCCACAATAACACATAAGAGTTTGATCTAACAATCCACAATCAGACAATCAAGTGGATGAAAAATGCCTACTGTCCAACTGATTTTCAGTTGGATGGCCAATCCATCAAGTTGGTCCACCACTATATATGTAAGACACTGCAGATAGAGGACTGGAGTCAGAATTGCATAGAAAGAAGAAAACAGGGAAAAAAGGAGCAGATTGCATGACATTTGACAAAACAGAGTTCAGTAATCTTAAGCTGCTAAAACAAAAATCCATCACTCTGATACCAATATTCTTCTGGTAAAGTTATGGATATAAATCATGAAATGTTACCAAAGACCCAAACATCAGGTGACCCACTGGGAAATAATGAAACACCATATGGTAAATAAAATAGCCATATTACCAACAATGACTATGAAGCATAAAGGACATCATCCAGGAGAGGTAAGTTCAGAAAAAGAGATGGCCCAGTCATGTATGAACATCATGAGACAGCCTGAATCCTATACTGGTACACAAATAATATTGGGCAACTAGGCAGTGCAGTAGATAGAGCACTGGGCTTGGTATCAGGAAGACTCATCCTCATGAGTTCAAATACTACCTCATACACCTACTAGCTGAGTGACCCCTAGGCAAGTCACTTAACCCTGTTTGCCTCAGTTTCTTCATCAATGAGCTAGAGAAGGAAACAGCAAACCACGCCAGTATCTTTGGCAAGAAAACCCCAAATGGAGTCACAAAAAGTCAGACGTGGCTGAAATGACAAAACAACAAGCCCAAATAATGTTAGAAAGCCAACAGCTCATAGACCTAAAGTACAGAAATACATGGTAAGATATATAAAATGCAAAGTAAAGCCTGGAGAATAATATATGGTTAGAACTAGACCCCAAAAAAAATTCATATTGAAGGAAAATGTATAACAGAATAGTGAATATCACTGAGAAAATGGAGATCATGTTCATTTTTAAAAAGCTGTAACAATGGAATTTTTCATGATGGTTTATGTTAAATTTTAAAATAATTTTTAAATTTAAACTTAAAACATTTTAGTTAAATAAAAAAATCATTAATTGATTCTAATGTCTACATTTCAAAACAGTGGCAGAAGAAATTTCAATGTATTGCATTTAAATCTCAGACCAACACCCTAAAAATAAAGTACAGAGCGAACAGAAGCAGTATAGGTAATTCCTGTTGTATCCTGAGGAGAAAGAAACCTGTCACTTAACCACAAACCTTCATATATTTTACTCTATATTAGTATGCATAATTACAGAAGGAAATCACATCAATTTAAATGAACTACTTCCTCATGATGGAAGATGCTAAGGAAAGAAATTATATGTAAGTATATATAGATAGATAGAGGGCACAGGGTGAGTTGAAGATTAAGGGGTCATATCTGGAGAATAAAATTAAGGGATGAGAGAGTATTATACTCAGAGAAGAAGAAAGGGAGAGGTAGAATGGGGTAAATTATCTCACAAAAATAAAAGCAAAGAAGAAAAGTCTTACAGTGGAGGGGGAATGGGGGAAGGTGAGAGGGAATGAGTGAATTTTATTCTCATAGGATTTGGCTTAAGGAGGGAATAACATACACATTCAATTGGGTATGGAAATCTGTCTTACCCTACAGGAAAATAGGGGAAGAAGGGGACAAGAGAACAGGGGGATGACAGAGAGGAGGGCAGATGGGGAAAGGGGGTAATCAGAAGTAAATACTTCTGAGGAGGGACAGGGTCAAAAGAAAGAATAGAATAAATGGGAGAGCAGGATAGGATTAAGGGAAACAGAATTAGTTTTTCACAACATTTCTACTGTGGAAGTGTTTTGTATAACTGCACATGTACAACCTATATTGAGTTGCTTGCCTTTTCAATGAGGGTGGGTGGGGAGGAAGAGAGAAAATTTGAAACCTAAAGTTTTAAAAACATATATTTTTAAAAAAATGTTTTCACATGCTACTGGGAAATAAGAAATACAGGAACAGGGTACAGAAGTCTATCCTGCCCTACAGGAAAACAGAAGGGGAAAGGAATAAGGCGGAGAGATAGAAGAGAAGACACACTAGGGGAAGGGATATTCAGAATGCATGCCATGTTGGGGTGGGGGGAGGGGTGAGATGGAATGAAAATTTGGAACTCAAAAACTTGTGGAAGTGAATACTGAAAACTAAAAATAAATAAATTTATATTAAAAAAAAAAAGGAAAATGCTATCCATATCCAGAGAAAGAACTATGGAGTCTGAACGCAGATCAAAGCATACTATTTTCTCCCTTTTTTTTTCCCTTTCACGGGGTTTTCCCCTTTTGTTCTGATTCTTCTTTCACAACATGACTAATGTGGAAATATATTTAATATTATTGTACATGTATACCCTACACCAGACTGCATGCCATCTTGGGAAGGGGGTAGAGGGAGAGAGGGGGAAATTTAGAACTCAAAATCTTATAAAAGTGAATGTTGAAAACCAAAATTAATTAATTTTAAAAAATAAATAAATGAACTACTTCAATCTGAGTAATCTGGGCTCTGCTTCACATTTGGTGAGTTAGATTCAGCCACTGCTACAAAGACAGAAAGTTGGCTAACGAATTTGTATACTGAACTGTTATCACAAAAAGTATGAAAACACAGACTTTTCATAGGATAGTCCCAAAATTCAAAGGGGCTTAATTTTTACCCTAATAGGACACAACACTTTCTGAAGAAACTGACAAAAATACCCAACTAGCTTTGAGAATAGGTTACCGAAAACTGATCAATACTACAGAAAATCCAAATACATTGCTTAGCTACATAGATTTATCAAACATAAGACATTCAAAATATTCTTTGGGCAAAAGAATAGAAAGAATACACTGTTTTACACACCAAGCCACTAACTCATTAATCTCAATGAATTTATCTCACTAAAATCTGAGTTGGCAGCAGAACCTCAGATTCTGAAAAAGAGGGAGAAAGAAGGTAGCAAGCCACTCTAGACTCAGCAGAACAGGAGATATTTGAAGCTAAGCTTATCAACAATTATACAAAGAGCAATGACCTCACCATCAGAAATCACTAAAATTCAAGACTCCCAGAAATTAAGTTGTTGATAGAATCACTCTAGCACCTTTAGGAATCTTCTTCAATTTTACACAGGAAAAAGAAAAGTTGAATGGAACAAATTGTTATATTGCATCTGCTCAATCTTTTTGCTGAGACATATGTTCCTACATAATGAAAAAAGAGAAGCCAACTCTATTTGTTTTACAATTTGCCAATCCTGCATACAAATTCTAAATATTGGTAGATGTATAACTTCCACACCAAGAATAACAAATATATATATTCCCCCACCTGATTTTTTTCCTATTAACTCTGATTTTCTAGAATAACATGCTTTTTGTTATCACTTTTCTAAAATCTCAGAAGTATAATTGAAACTTAAGTGATCACTCAAAATAGCTCCACAATTAGGAGGTTAAAACACAGCTTCTATCATGCTTCTTCCAAAACATTTCTCTATTAAGTTCAAGGTAATCACTCTGTACTTAAGCCATTACATAAATAAGGTCAGCTTTTAGGAAAAAAGTCAAGGATCCTAGGACAGGACACTGACTCCCTTCCTTCAAAGCAGCCCTCAGAACCGCCAACAAGCCTCACTTCCGACATCAACTCCTCCTCCCCCTCCCCCAGGCATCCCCCTTCAAAAGCCAGGCAGTCCACCCAAGTCAGCCAAGTTCTGCTGGGAAGCTATGTGAAGAACAGCAACAAGAGCCTACTTTGAGGAGATCACCAGTCATGACAGGAGATGAAAAGAAATTATTTGGCCAAGGGATGCACTGTGCCAAACAGTTAGCCCCTGCTTTGAGGTCTCTGCTTGCATGTCAGCAGCTATTCTTTCTTTGACAACACCCATTCTCTGAGCCGAGGGAAACCAGCTCAGCTTCTGTTTCCATCCCCACTTGGAGCAGTCAAGGTTCTTTTCAGCTTTGTGGTATCAAACCAAGTCACAGAGAAGGTGTCCCCAGGAGATTAAAATACAGTAGGCCACTACCATGTAATTTGGTATCACAACTATTCCTCCTCAGCAGAGGAACAGGGAAATGTGACAGGGAATAATGGTGAATTCACTCTCAGAGATTGACTGGGATATTCTGAGATTGTGCTTGATAAAGAGAAGAGAAAAGGTAAGCTACAGGTGAAATGAAAGCACAGTTAAGAGTAGAACTATTTTTACCTCCAAATAACTGTGTTCTCTCTTCATAACCTCCACCTCACCAAGTGAAGTCTGGGGCTGCTGAAACACCTAGAACCTCCAGCCCATCAAGTTCAGGATGGCTTCACAATGCTAGGAAAATAGACCCTCAAGTGCACCAGGTCACTCTGCCAACCAAACACAAAGGAAAAACAAAAGGAAAATTAAAAAACAGTCCATCTTGCCTCCATGTACTAGCTCATGAAGAATATTCAAGCAAACAGAGGGAGGAAGGAAAACTGACTTAAGCAAAGATCATAGAGTCTCCTGGAAGCTGAGAATGACAATATCACATTTTCCCTCCCCAACACACATAAATTCTGTTCTTTAAATTATTTTGCTAATTTCATTGTTCTTTACGTGGCCATCTCATTCTTCATCAGTGCCAGATGACCACTAGGAGGTAAACAATGCTCTAATATCATACAATAAATAAATAAGCTAGGGTAGAGATGGTTTTCAGGAACATATCTTTTAAGGCTCACCAATGGGATAGTGCTCAAATAAGAAGATAAAAGAAAAGCTAGGAAGTCAAAGTTTCTAAAGGAGAAAATCAAGAAGTCAGATTTGTCCACAGGGTACCATAAGACTCATCAGAAGGCAGGTAGGCCAATTTTATGATTTCTGGACAACAGGACCAATACCTCAAAAACATCATTTTTCCTTGTCTCTCAAAGAAGTGGAGAGGAAATTAGTAGACAACTATAAATGTTAAGATGTTTTAAATGGCTAAGAGCATGCAAGACCTTCTGATAGCTAGACAGTGTAAAGAATTCAGTGCATCTTCCTCTGGCCAAATTATCAGCTGAAGTTAGTTATCCTAAAGTCCCACTGTTGACAATGTTGCCTAATGTCAACCAACATCAATAACACCAAAATTAGCACACTGATCACTTGAAACTAGGAAGCTAAAAAAAAAATACACAAAAGCATCAGACCACACCAACCAATTCTTCCCTAGGATATGAAGGAGCATGAATGGAAAGAAGGGTTGGAGAAAGCTTGATTCATGCTATAGTTTTATCATGATCCTTTCTGTTTCCTGGAGCAATCCAATTAGTGTCCTAAATATCTCAGCACCAGGATGAAGAAAGGGCCTTACAGAAAAATCTGAAGTATGCCTTACCTCAAAGTCAAAGGTGAAGTAGGAATAGAAACTAAGCTTGAAACTAATCTGGAAATCCATGAACCCTTTTGTGGACCTCCAGAAACAGGCATTCCTCAAACCCTTGATATGCAGGAAGCCAAAGAGCAGTCTGGACACAAACAAGGGAGGGACGTCTCAGGAACACACTTTAGTTTCCTCTCAGGTTTGAGTTATAGCTGGCAGAGCTTCCAACTCAGAATTCAGTTTGATATGCCTTTTTAAGCTGTTTAGAGGGTCGTATCAGGACAACTCAGCAGAAATGCTACTTCTGACACTTCAGCAGCCATGTACGAACAAATCAACTAGCATTTATTAAATGCCAAATTTTATGTACCAGTCACTGGGCAACCCAGGCACTGGAGATAAAATGACAAAAATAAAATAGTTCTTGCCCTACTGGCCAGACGTACATAAACTTATTTAATCTCTTTGAGCCTTACTTTTCATATCTGTAAAATGGAGCTAATACTTATAGGACCAACCTCACAAAGTTGGTATTATGAAGCTCAAATGAGACAACACACTTAAACTTCTTTATAAATGTTAGATATGATTCCTCCTCATTCTCACAGTGTTGTGCCTTCATGCCTCTGGAACACCTCCTTTCCCCTGTAAGGTAATTTCTCATCTACTCTACACCTATATGCCTGGCTAATTTACTGAGCCTCCCTCATTAGAACTGTAAGCTCCTTAAAGGAACGGGCTGCGTTTGCCTTTCTCTACATCCCTATCCCTTTACACATGCCCCTTTCTACCTTACACTTGAATCTCCTCCAGGAACTCCACAATTCAGCTACAACAGACCTATTTGTTATTCCTCACACAAGACTGGTCCATCTCACAACACCCTGTGCATAGACTGACCCTTCTGCCTGGAAATGCTCTCCCTCCTTAGCTTGGCTTCCTAGCTTCCCTGGCTACCTTCAAGACTGCTCAAATCCCACTTCCAGTGCCTTCCCTCCAAGATGACCTTCCATTTGCACTCTATATATCCTATACATAAGACATAGTTATTTGCTTGCTGCCTCCATTATAATATGAGCTCCAGGAGGGCAGAGACCCCGGATTGTTTTTTCGTTTGTTCTGTTTTGTTTTTAACCTTTCTCTTAGCAGTGAGTGCTCAGTAAGCGTTTACTAAGTGCTTGCGGACTGACTGCCTGGCAACATAGTACAAGTATGTTAATGCTAGTGGACAGTCCGGCTGGGCTGACCCTCCGGTTCTCCTGTTCCTCCTACCCTTTCCAATCAACTCCCCGCACTCCACATCATGTCCCAGTTTCATCTGTCTTCATTACCAACTACACCAACCTTAACCTCAAGGCAGATCGCTGCCCCCTACCCCGCTTCCCCTCTACAAGACTTCTCTCCAACACCCCTTCCAGCTACCTCCTTCCAAACTGCCAACTTTCGCCCCCAGTGTCTCCCTGCCACCCTGTGGGATGTCACATGGCACAGACTCCTTGGACCCCTCGAAGGGGGTGGGGAAGCGTCTGGAAAGAGGGAGGAGGAGAAGCCCTTCCCAATCCTCCAGCCTAGCTCCTTCTTCCCTACCCCATCACCCCGCCCTCCGGGCTCCCCCCGCCCCCCAGTCTCCTTCCCCTCTGCTCTCTACCCGCCCCCCACACACAGTACCGCACTCTCCCAGCCCTCCCCCCAACCCAGCCCTCGGGAAAGACTCTTCAGGCCCCGCCCCCACTCCATCTCTCCTCAAGCCCCTCCCCCACGACCCCCTCCTTTTCTCCCCACCACCCGCTCCGCGGGTCACCTCAGTTCCGGGACCCGACCGCCCCGGCCCCTCCACGCTCAGGCCGCCGCCGCTCCGAGAGCCTCTCCTCTCCTCCGCTGCCGCCGCTCCGGCCTCGTCCCGTCCTCTCAGCTCCCAGCTCTCTCTTTCTCTCTCTCTCTGTGTCTGCGTGTGTGTGTGTGTGTGTGTGTGTGTGTATGTGTGTGTGTCTCTCTCTCTCTATCTCTCTCTTTCTCTCTCTCTCTCCCTCTCTCTCCCTCTCTCTCCTCTCTCTCCTCCTCTCCCTCTCCCTCCCTCTCCCTCCTCTCCCTCCTCTCCCTCCCTCTCCCTCCTCTCTCCCTCCCTCTCCCTCCCTCTCTCTCCTCTCTCTCTCTCTCTCTCTCTCTCTCTCTCTCTCTCTCTCTCTCTCTCTCTCTCACCCTTTCTCGCCGCCACCGCCCCTTTTGCCAACCCGGAAATGAATCCACTCCCACGGTCCACAATGTCCACGAACAAAATGGAGCTGGGGAAGGAAGGAGGAGGGAGTGGAGCCGAGGGGTATGGAACGCATGCGCTCCTACAGAAGCCACGCCTCCTTGCGGAATGACGAAGATGGAGGGGACGCGGCCGCCATGTTGGGGAGGTCGTAGCTTCCCTCCCCTCCCCAAAGAAGAGGAAAGTAGGAGCGGGAAGAGGAGGGTGTATGAGGATGCCCTTCCCTCTCTCACACCGCCCTCTCCTCTACCCTTTCACCCCAGCCAACTCTAACTAATTTCTCTCGCAAACAAAAGAGTAAAAGAACTGGGCTCCGGCCTAACCCTGCAGACGCTTTGTGGCCAAGCTCCTGTTGTCATGACGACAGAGATGATGGCTCCTGCCAAGATCGCGATGTTCCAGAGAATCAGAGAATCTCAAAGTTGGGAGGGACCCCAGAGGGCATGCAGTCCAGCTCATCCCTGAGCAAGAATCCTTGCTACAATATTCCCAACAAATGGTCGTCCAGCCTTGGCCTGAAGGTTTCCAGTGAAGGGAAACCTGCGCTTTCTAGGCAGCCCATTCCACTTTTGAAGATTGTTTCCTTGTGAAGTTTTTCCTAACTTTGAATCTAAATCTTCCTCTCTACCACTTCCACCCACTGCTCTATGTTCTGCCTACAGAGCCAAGTAGATTAAGTGTAATCTCTCTTCTCCTTAATTATTATTATTATTATTATTATTTTATCTAGAAGTATAGGTAACAATCAAGCAATCAACACTTACTAAGCACATACTATGTGCCAGACCCTGGAACCTAAAGTCCTTCCAGCAAGACAAATGGGCAACTGTTTTTTTTCTGTAGCTTATACTCTTCTTTTCCTTTTTTTTTTTTTTGCAGGCAGTGAGGTTAAATGACTTGCCCAGGGTCACACAGCTAGTGTTATGTGTCTGAGGCCAGATGTGAACTCAGGTCAGGAGGACCTGAGGGCCAAGGCCAGCTCTATCAGTTCTCCCACCTCACTGCCCCTTGTAACTTATAGTCTTAAAGAATTGCCTAAGGCACTGAGAAATTAAGTGACTTAAATTTTAGTTAAGTCTGACATAGTGTCAGTATGTGTCAGAAGCAAGACATGAATCCAGATCTTCTGACTCAAAGGATGCCTCTCTTCCACATGACAGCTCTTTACAAATACTTGAAGATAGCAATCATGTCATTCATAGCCCCACACAAACCACCCTGCCCAAGCATTATCTTTTCCAAATAAACATCTTCACGTCCTTCAACTAGTCTTATATAGCATGGTTTCCAGTACTCTCTCCTTCCTGGTTGGCTTCTTCAGGACTCTCTCCATTTTGTCAACATGCTTTCTAAGATATGGAGCCCATTCAGACCTGAGTACAGTATTCAAGATACTGTCTGAGCAGAGTTGAGTATAAGTATTACCACCTTCCTCATTCTGGATAGATTCTCAGTGCAGCCTAATATTGTATTAGTTGGTTGTGGTCCTTTTTGTTTGTTTGTTTTTACTGCCACATCACATAATAGATTCATATGGAGCTAGTTCATTAAACTCTCAGATCTTTTTTGTATATAAATTGTTGTCTACACTTTCCCTCAACCTGTACTTTCACAGTTGATTTCTTGAATCCAAGATGATTTCTTGAATCCTCATTTCTCACCTGCTTTGGGATTTCTATGACTTCTCTACAACACCCCAGGAAGCTCATTATTGGGAAAACCTTATCATCCTACAAGAGTCCATAAACCTGAGCATTCTACTTCATCACTCCTCCCTACCCCTCTGATTGAAGAGTGGGACCATGAACTCCAAATGCTCCATTTATAGAGGGAGCTCAGCTCAGATTTTGTTGTTCAGTCATTTCACTCGTGTCCAACTCTTCATGACTCATCTCATTTTACAGATGAGGAAACTGAGGCAAACAGAGTTAAGTGACTTGCCCTGGGTCAGACAGCTAGTAAGTGTCTGAGGCTAAATTTGAACTTAGGAAGAGGAGTCTTCTTGATGCCTGGCCTGGGCACTCTACCCATTGTGCCACTTAGCTGCCCTAGCTGAGCTCAGAACATGTCCTTATTTCTTAACTGACTTCTCTCCCATGCCTCAATTCAATTCAATTCCAGTCTTTCCCCCACTATGTTCTCAGGAAGTCCTTTCTTAGATTTATCCATCGTCTCTTTTATTGTTGCCCTTTAAACCTTGATCCTCTTGCTCTGACCTGAGTGGTACCTGATACCAGCAGGTCAACCTTTCAGAATATATTATAATTCCTCATTCAGCTTTTTCTTCTTCCCTAGACTCCTATAACCTTTAGCCTTCTCCCTTTTTTTTCCCTCCACATGTCTTCCTTCTCCTTCAGATTTTGGAACTTGTAGAACTGAACTGAGAGGGGGCCTTATCAATGGTTAGGGTAACAGAAGGACAACTTGATGGTTCCTAGAAGCACAATCAGGACCAGACTGAGAGCCAGTAATACACGTTAAATTGAATACAGCTAGGTAGAAAGGAAGGTAGGGTTACTATGGAAGGTAGACCAGGAGTCTGAGTATAAGCACATTTCTTAAAATTTCATCTTTACTTGATAAGCTACCTTTAGTTATTCATTTTATTTATTTGATATGAGGGCACCTCCAGGCATTAAAAAACAAAAAACAAAAACACCTTTTTTCAATAAAACTGGAAGTCCTTGGTTTGATACCTGGGGCAAGAAAAAAAGAGAGAAGAGTTGATCATCATCCTGCCCTTAGAAACTGTTTCAACCTCCCTCCACCAAACTCCTTTGTCCTTAGGACTTAAATGTCCTGAGATATTTAAAAGGAAAAAAATCGAAGAAAAAAAACCTGGAAGTTAGTAACTTAATTTCCTTTTGATGATAGTTAAACTCCTAGCACCAGTTGGGGAAATGAGCTCCTCCAAGATTCCATAACTCTCTTCCTCATCAATCCTTCATCCCCCTCTCCTTTACCCCAATATCCCCCAAAGTCAACGATGACAAGTTACTTTAATGAGAACAGTAGTAGTGACACCTAGTGGACTTAATGTGTACAACCTGAATGTGCCTTCACTTTGTCTCCTCTTCCCTGTAGTGAGTTGACTGTAGTTTTCAACTATCAAATACACACAGTTGAGGGACAAATCTGACATGTCACTAAAACAGTGCTCACTTTTTTAATGCACTTTGAGATTAACAAAGCACTTGCTTTACAACAACCCTGTGAGGTAGAAGTATTTTCCCACATTTTGTAATTGAAGAAAATCTCATTCTCTATACCTCCACTGAAGCCACAACTAGACATTTTTCCAGATGGGACAAAAATAATTTAAAGGGGAGGGGGGATAGGGTAAGAAAAAGAATATGGATATAGTCACATTGGGAAAAGAATGTTGGTCCAAGAGAGGGGCAACCCAAGCAACAGGACTCTCAGAATGCCTAATTATAGGCTTCCAACTCTGCAAAGTGAGACAGTACTGTGGTCTATGGAGAAGAGGGGTCTTCTCACCCTGTGTTGGCACCCTGGAGGAAAAATTATTTGCCTGGTGCTAGTTAAGGTTATAACCATTGCCTTACCACCTTTTAAGACACTCTTAAAAAGGAGAAACCCCACTGTTGCTGAGTAAAGTGAGCAGAACCAGGAGAATGCTGTACACAGTAACAGCCACGTTGTGCTATGACTAGCAATAAACTTAGCCCTTCTCAGCAATGCAAGGATCTAAGACATCTCCAAAAGTCTCATGATGGAAAACGCTATCCACATCCAAAGAAAGAGTTTGAATGCAGATCAAAGCATACTATTTGCTATTTTTTTCTTTTGTTTTGTTTTGTTTCCACTTTCTTGTGGTTCCTTCTATTGGTTCTAATCCTTACAACATCACTAATGTGAAAATATGTTTAATAGGAAAGTATAGATTATAGCCTATATCAGATTGCACGCCATCTTGGGGAGGGAGGAGGGAAGGAAAGGGGAGAAAAATTTAAAACTCAAAAGCTTATGTAAGTGATGGTTGATAAATAAAAATAAATTAATAAAACAAAAAAAAAGGAGAAACCCCGAAGAGAAACCCTCCCCCCCAAAAAAATTTGAGTTATTCAATCAATGTGGCATTTATTAAGGCCTCATTGGCAGGCCCTGTGCTGGGTGCTAGGAATAGAAATACAAAAAAAGTAAATAACCCCTACTCTCAAGGAACTTACTTTTTATCAGGGAGATTATATATGTATTGTGTACATGTATATACATATATGTATATATGACACATACATATGTGCGTGAATAAATGACATAGTAAGAAGGGAGGGCCCTAGCATTTGGGGAGATCAAGAAAGGCTTTGTATAGAAGTGATACCTGAGCTGAGTCATGAAAGGAAGTAAGAAATAATGTGAAGCAGAGGTAAATAGGGAGTACATTCCATGAATGGGGGATGGCTAGTACAAAGGTACAGTTTGCTCGTGCAAATATAAATACTATCTCCCAATTAGAATTTATGCTGTTTGAGAGCAGGGACTGTTTTTTTTCCCCCTGCCTTTCTGTATATTCCCAGTGTCAAGATTTAGATTGAAACCACCTCATTTTAGCTTTGATGCCTTAACTAGCTAGTGTCTCCCTTCTATTTATTATCTCCAATGTATCCTGTATTTAGCTTGTTTATATAGTTGTTTGTATATTGTCTCCTTCCCAACAGATTGTGAGCTTCTTGAAATCAGGGACTGCCTTCTGGCTGTCTTTGTGTTCCCAGCACTTAGTACAGTGCCTGGCACATAGTAGGCACTTAATAAATGTTATTGACTGACTGAGTAGGCATGAACATTTTTTTGATTGAATCAAACATCATAACTGAGTGCAGATAGGACCACTAGGGCATTCCCTACATAATTTATGTAAGAAGAAGCAGCTATCTCAGAATTAGAGGGAGAAATTCTAAATGTCTGGCTATGAAAAGTTAGAGCAAGTATGGCATTTCCAGCCCTCTTTTGAGAAGTAAAGGGAAGACTGAGCTGTGGCGGAGAAAGGAGAGGCATTGCCTCTAAAGGAATTCTCAGAGAAGAGGACCAAGGCTGAGGGAAGTCCCAAAAAAAGTCTGCTCTTTCCTCAGCTTCCCCATAGATGTTTGTGTATCTACAGACACTATAATATAATCTGCTGTTTCTTGTAAAACAAAATTTTGCTTCTTCCACAAAGTGGCCAGAGGCTAATATGTGTGTGTGTGTGTGTGTCTGCAGAGAATCCAACCTCTGCCTAAATGTTGGGAAATTTCAAAACTGGAGGTGTGGAACAACTATGTCTGAACTCAGAACTTTTCACCTAAAATAAATTCCCAAAAGCCAAAGAAAAGGAAAATAAGTGGACCTTAAAGACCATTACATAATAAGCTTATTGTTCCCTAATAAGCTAATTATTGGGTTTTTTTAAAGTATTACATTGGCTTTTAATAAATACTTGTCTGAGTGACGGAGATGAGAGATGGAGTATCACGCAACAAGAGCAGAGAGGTCCACTTTGGTTGTACCAAAGAGTGTGGGAAGCAAAGTGACATACAATGAGGCTGAAAAATCAGTTTATGAAGTGCTTTAAAAAACAACAGAGGAGTTAATATTTGATCTTAGAAGCATTAGGGGGGCAGCTAGATGGTGCTGTGAATAGAGCGCTGGCCGTGGAGTCAGAAGGACCTGAGTTCAAATCCAGCCTCAGACACTTAACACTTATTAGCTGTGTGACCCTGGGCAAGTCACTTAACCTTGATCGCCTCACCAAAAAAAGCAAAAAAAAAAAAAAAGAAGAAGAAGAAGAAGAAGAAGCATTAGGGAGCCACTGGATTTTCAGTAGGAAAGTGACATGATCAAATTTGTGCTTAAGGAAAAATCACTTTGGCTGCTGGAAGATGGATTGGAGGTATGAGAAACTTGAGGTAGGGACCACTCAGTTGGCGATTACAATAATCTAGGTGAGAGATGATGACAACAAAGCAGCAGCTATGTGACTAGATAAATGGGGGTAGAATTTAAGATGTAGAAATTATAAGATTTGGCAACTGACTGGATATGTGAAATAAGGGAGTATTCAGTCAAGAATAATGGCATGCCAAGATTAAAAACCTGATTGTGCCTTTGATAGAAATAGAGAAGTTTGGTAGAGAGGTAGATTGGGAGGGGAATGGTGTGTGTGTGTGTGTGTGTGTGTGTTTGCGTGCACATGAGCACAAGCATTCGAGCAAAAAATTAGCTCTGTTTTGGACATGTTGAATTTAAGATGTCTCCAGAACATGTAGTTTGAAATGTCCAAGTTAATCATTTGTTCTTATAAGGCAACAGCTCTGGGAGGAATTGTCTCTAAAGCTACAACCAAGCAACCATGATATTTACAACCCTGATATTATAGCAACCCTAATATTTCTCCTCTTCCCAAACTTCTTTGCCATTTTGAGAGAAAAAGTTGCCCTTCAGAAGGAAAAGCAAAAAAGTCTGGGGGTGCCAGGAAGGAGTCTCCTTCAGTTTCCTGGGAGGGTGAAGAGCTACAGCAATAGTAGCCACTTGAACCCCTACAACTTCTAAACAATGCCCTAATATCCTGGGCTTGTATCCTACAGGCTTTGAGAGTGCCCAAAGTCCTGGTGAGGGCTCTCTAAAACTTCTGCTTCTTTGTCCATTTCAAAATTCTGTGCTTCCCTCAGTGATCTCCTTGAGAAGTCTGGTGTCTGGACTCGGTCATTAGGCAAAATGACTAACAATGGTCATTCCTCTTACCCTACCCTGTAAATCTTTTAGACCTGAACAGGTCAAATTTTTTGACCTCAAGACAATGTTAGGTCTTACAAACGTTATTGTGGGGGAAAAGGAGACGGCTTTTTTTTTTTAAAGTTTTCTGTGAAGGTCTTTCCCCTTACACACTCTTACCTCCATCTGGAATTTCTACCTATCACTCACTTTAAATACCACCTCCCCCCAAGAAGTTTTCCCTGATTACATCACGCAGAAATGTTCCCTCTGTGCTTCTGAATTCCTATAGGCCCTCTTGAAGCACTAATCTTATACTTTCTAATAATGCCATCCTCTGGGTAGATATTTAACCTCCCCTGTTTTTTTGTAAACTGCTTCCAGGTAGGAACTTGACATTTTTTTATGTCTTTCTCATTGTTCTTTTGCACACAAAAGGAATTCAATAAAGGTATTGAGTTAAATCTTCACTTTTTCAAAGCCCCAGTGTTTTTACCCCATGTATGGCAGCTACCAGACTGGTCTTCAGTTACCAAATCAGCTCCTGAGAGAGACTTGGGATATAAGTCACTGGCTCCCTTACTCCCCACCCTATTTTTTTCCTCAGACGGAATTAAAAATAAAAAAAGACAAATACAACAAAGGAGAGCAGCAGACATGTTAGTTCAGAGACTTTATTGGCCTTTTTCTGCCCAACAACCAAAACTACACAGTCCACACCATTCATTCTGTTAAAGTTGTCGTGGGGGGGGGGTTGGGTTTGGTAGGTGGAAATAGAGGCAGGCAGTTCGAGGCAGTGGATACATGGGTGAGAATAAGGAAGTGGGGGGGGGTGAGGAGATTGGAGGAAAGCCAATGTGACCAAAAGTGAATTCATTTAGAAGTGTGTTAAAACGCTCAAACACACTTGTATAAGTGTACCTAAGAGCAGGGAAGGGCAGGAGGATACTACAACAGGTAAGAGAGAGTTAGGGAGAGTTAGGAGGTGTGAGCATGGCAAAAAAGCTATATGATTTTTTTTTTGAGTGGCACTGGGGAGAGAAGATAAGGGGGATTAAGAAGGAAATTGCACAGATGGGGGATGGGATAGGGAGATGAGTTGGGAACAGGGAATGTGTACATTGGGAGTGTATGGTAGTGTCTGCGTGTGGGTGTAGGGACATTTTGTAGCAAGAACAAGACAGATGGGCCATATAAAAGGGACTGTACAGTGTTACGTATGATACAGCATTACATATTATACAAGGCTCTTTCCCTCTTTTGTTTTAAAAAATAAATTTACAATTAAAGAGCATTTAGTAAAAAATATATACATTCTCAAAGGAAAAGAAGCAGCAACAGCTGCCACAAAAAGGGAGAGGAGGAGCCAGATAGGAGGGCAGGGTAGTGCCAAGAAACCATGCCCAGTAGCTGCCAGGGGCCTCTGTACCTACACCCCCTCGACTCCCAACCTGGGAGGCCCATGGTGGGAGAGACAGAGAGAGAGGTAGCAAAGGCATTGCCACACAAGTTCCATCCTCTGCCTTTAGAGCCTCCTCTTCTTGGGGGAAGAGGATCCCCTGCCCAAGGAATGAGAAGCCAGATCCACCCTAACCCTGACTGGGAGAAAGGAAAGAATAGAAACAGAGGGAGAGGCACAGATATCCACCTTCCCATCTTCTATTCCCATTTCAGTGACTAGATACCCCAAAGCAAATAAAATAGGATAAAGGTGGCATTTGTCAGCAAGGACCCTTAACTCCTGACTCTGTGCCTCATTTCCCTCTTCTATACCTCCCAGGAGAAGAGGGATGAGTACACTAGGCAGCTTAAGTCTATGTTTCCCTGAGCATCTGCTGCCCTCTCACCCCCACCCAGGGATATTTTGGAAATGGGGGAGAGGAAAGGACAGAGGGAATTGCACAGGGGCCCATGGGTACACCTCCCACCTGCTGCTGCTCCCTGCCCCCAGGGAGAGCTTCACCCACAAGCCTGGGCATGTAGGGCAGCACCTGGGGAGCGGAGTAGGAGTAGAAACAGGGAAGGGGTTGGTGGGGAAGAGAGAATGAAGAAAACACCCAGGCCCCTTCCAGGGCCGAGGCAGACAAGGGTAGCACCAAACAGCAGAGATCTCTTTGTACAATGCACCCCCATTTTGCTAGCTGGAGATCCCCTTCCTTTCTCACAACAACTCCCCCAACTAACTCTGGGAAAGGGAGAGCTGTACAAAGGGGTAAGATAAAGTTTTGGAAGGGGAGTCCCTCTCCGTTCACAGCAAAGAGGGCTCCCAAGACCACAAGAGAAGAAGCTAAGAGGTATGGCAAATATGGAGGCTGCTGGTTTTCCCTCCACAATTCCTTTTCTACCCTACCCTGCAGTATTCCTTCCTACCTGAGGAGGTGGGGGCTGGAAATTCCATCCCCAGACTGACCCTGCTACAGGAAGGGGACAGAAGAGAAAACTACCACCTCTTTTCACTGTCTTGGGGCAGGGGGTGAGATGGGAGGGTGAAATTTTGGCCAAGAACAGAGGCAGAAGGGGAGGAAGAGTCTGGAAAATCAAAATTCAGGTAGCCTGGAAGGGACAGGCATAAGATCTCAGTGCAACAAAGCTGATTTCTAACCAACCCTCAAGGAGGAAGGAGATCTGTCAGAGCAAGGAGGAGATGGGAAGAGGAGAGGGACCCACGTGCAAAGTGCTTGAGTGCCAGGTGTGGGTACCAGGAGCTCCTGGAGAAGTACCTGGACTGGTACCCCCAACACCACTACCACCCTCACTGACTATTGGCCTCCAACTTGTAGGAGAGCTCAAAGAGCAGATTCTGGTTGTCAATGACCTGGAACTGGCGCACATAGGCCTTTGTCTGCAGGTGGTGAGGCGATGCTTCCATCTCCAGGCCTATGGGGACATCAAGTGGGGAGTCACTCCCGTTATCATCACCACCACCACTGCCCCCCCCCACACACATATACACCCATAGCACCTGGAGCTGAGGGATGAAGAGATAGCTTCACCGAGGAGGAGAAAAACAAGGGCCTACATATTTAGAAGGTAAATTCCTTCAGGATGGAGAGCCATGGAAAGTAGGGGTGGGAGAGGGTTTGGTGTTGCCACCACAGACAAAACACTCTTACTCACACATGCACATATCCCAGTACCCATTCAACCCTGCTGTCACCATACTCACAGAGGGGCCGACTCCTGTATTTACGGATTGTTCTCACTTTTTCTGCCACTGAATGCTGAGGAATGAGGGTGAGGGGAAAACCAGAAGGAAAAACAGTGAGGGAAAAAGCAAACACAAATGCCCTTCCTCCTTCTTTTATCCCCTTCACTCCCCTACCTCCAAGGCCTGAGTACCCTCCCAGCCAGAGCTCAACCTGTTCCCATATTTCTAGTCTCCGAACAGCTCAAAAAAAGATGCAGGATCTTTGACTTTCCAGTGAAAAGATACCTTAGAGATAACAGCTCCAACTTCCTCATTTTACAAAGGAGGAAACCGAAGCCTTTAGAAGGTAAATGATGCCGTTCTGATCACTAAAGCCAGCAGGATCAAATATAAACTCCTGTTTGGAATTGAAAGCCCTTCACATTGCCTTTCCAAGCTCACTGATCACTGTCTCTTCCTTCACATACCCTACAATCCACCTTCTTACTATCTGTCCCTCATCCACAACGTTCCATTTCCCATTTCCAGGTCTTTGCATGGGCAGTTATCTCCTAAGCCTGAAATGTACTTCCTCCTTAACTCCTCTTCTTAGAATCCTTAGTAGCTTCCTCCAAAGCCCAACCTAAGTTCCACCTCCATGGCCACTGCACGGTCATGCACTAGCCAGTGCATCTCTGCCCTCTAATTTTTATTTAGTATATATTTTGTATCCACTTACATGCATTCAGGTTGTTACACACACATACACACACACACACACACACACGTAAGCTCATTGAGGACGGGGACTTTTTTTTTGTCTTTCTATCTCTAGCGCCTAGCACAGTGCTGCAGCATAAGGGATGATTAAAAAATGCTTGTTGATTGGTTGATTGGTAATAGCCGGCAGAGCCAGCTTCTCTGATTCCAAATCCCACTATGCTGTGCTAGATTCTCCCAAATGAGAGTGGACAGTGCGGGAATGGGAGACAGTGAGGCTGGACTTCAGTGCCCAGAGTTAGCCTGAGAATCCTAGTAATTGGGTGTCAGGTCTGTCACGTGTGGGAGGGTTGCCAGGGTAATGCTGCCTTAGAGATGCACTTGGAATCTGCCTAACAAGCTTGGGCACTGCAAGGAAGGATGTTGTCTGCCAGGCATGGCAGGCGAGGCACAGTGCACCATGAGCTAAGAAGAGAAGGTGAAAACCCAACCCCTGGTCCATTAGGAAGGGCACATGAATGAGTGGTTCACTCACCAGCTTCTCGATGTTGACTAATCCATCCAGAAGAGTCTTGCTGCCTTCATGCAGGAATGTCAAATCTATAGGGCAAAGGAGGAACAGTGAATCAGGTGTGGATAGGGGACTCAAAGAAAACCCTTGGAAAATCACTGTAGTGGAGGATTGAAGCAATTCGGGGTTTCTCTACACAACATTCTATCATCCTCGCTGGCCTGGAAGACTTCAGATTTGGGATTTAGAATCAGGATTTAAGGCAAGGTTCCTTAACTTGGTGTCCACAGACTTCTTTGGGGTCCATGGGTAGATTCCAGGGAGTAAGTGAACTTGAATGGTAAAAAAAAAACCCATTCTATCTTTGTATCAGTTTAATTGATTTGTTTTGTCATCCTTTATAAAATATAATTTTATTTTGTTCATTTACAAACATTCTTTGGAGAAGGGGTCCATAGGCTTCACCAGACTGCCAAAGGGATATATGACACATGAAAAGGTTCAGAAGCCCTGGTTTCAGGTTCAGGGGATAACCTTAGGGGTTGGGGCATTGATGAAGGGTCATGAAGGGTCATGTTTGAAGATCAGGGCTCTTCACCTTTGAGGATCAGAGGCACGAAGGGAATCACTGGTGGCTTCATCTTAGATACAACCTCTCTGTAACTTTTGTGGTTCCTGCAGGGGTCCTAGAGAATAAGAATAACGGCTGGTATTTATATACGGCTTTCAGGTTTGCAGACTGTTTTGAATATTACCTCATTTAAACCTCACAGTAGCCCTACCAAGATAGGTAAAAATTTTGTTGACCATTCCTGTGATTTCATCAGCACAGGGGGCTCAAAGAGAGAAATTTTCCTTTTCAATCAACATATTCTCTTCAATTCATAGCATCAGGGTTACTTCAGACACTAAATGACTTGATCAGGGCCTCTAGGCCAGCAGGTGTCAGAGGTGAGACTTGAACCTGGGTCTTCCTGAATCTGAGGCCACCTCTACCCACTAAATGATGCTGCAAAATTTTAAACTCAAAAGCATTTGGAAGTGATTGTTGATAAATCAAAATAAATTAATAAAAAAAGCTTTAAAAAATGATGCTGCAAATGAGGAAACTGAGGCTCATTAAAAGTAACCATCCCTGAGTCACAAGCTAAGTCAATGTAAGAAGCAGAATCTGAGCCCCGCTTCCAAGTCCATCTCTGTTACCACTCTACTATCATTTGGCCAGGGATCAAAGTAGGACCTGACATTACCGCTAGCGAGTGCTCTCACTCCCTTTCTAACCTTCCTGCCTGGGTTAGTTCCCTCCCTGACCTCGTGGCTGGTTTTGGGCACAGGGGAATGAGGGGGTTGTGATAACTGCTCTTCCAGCTCCTCACAGTTACACACCTTCCTTACATCGTTTTCCATCTGCTAAAAGCCTAGGTTGGTCAAGTAGCAGGAGGTCCCTGGAATCGCAGGGAGATGAGCACATTTGTATGTATGTGTGGGAGGAGGGAAGAGAAGAGAGGGACCATACTCACTGTCAAATTCTCAAATTTTCGGAACAAGTTCTTGAATTTCCCAGGAAGTTTCTGAAGAAAAAGTTTGAAGAAAGGAACGGAAATGTTCATAGAGAGGGCACTGGTTTTAGGACAGCTTTAGCTAATCCACTAATGGCTTGGGGAGGTGGTAGATGGAGGGGGGATGACCAGTTTGCCCAGAATGTAGGCGAATGCGGTGGCAAAGACAGGGACAAGGAGATTCCAGCTTCATTTAGGAGTTCATAATGGCACAGGGAGAATTGTTGGGAATAAGGAAGCTAGAACCCAAGGTAGAAGGGACTTGGGAAAGACCCGAGAATCCTAGAGGGCAGGGGATTATTCCCTCACCTCCCAGGTGAGCCGAAGGCGGCTGACAGCGGCATTATCCAGCCCCATAATCACAGCGTAGAAAGACAACAGGTCCTGATTCTGCTTACAGCTGTTTAAAATAAGGGTTGGGGGAATGGTGAGCAGGTTTCAGGGACCCAGGCCTTTCCCAGCCATAGGAGCCCCCTCCCCTGCCTCCCCAGTCTGATCCGGGGCTCACACGGCTGCAATCTTGATGAACTTCTTGAGCAGCTGCGCTCGCTTCCCGAGGGGTTCACAGAGCAGAACCTCTGTGGCCACCCAGTGGGTGACCTCACTGCACCGCTGAAGCAAAAGCTCCAGGTTGGCTGTCTCTCGCCGGCCCCTCTCCCCATGGAACACGTAGTCCACGAACTCCAGCTAAGCCACCAGCCAGTTCACAGGTGAGGGAGGACAAGCGGCATGGAGAAGAGTGTAGAAAAGACAGAGGGAAAGACAATAGAGTTGGGAGAGACAGAGGTCGGGGCGGGTGTGATAGGACATCCACGGGAAAGGAGAGAAAGGATGGAAGTGGGGACATGCAGTTGAGGGCAAAGAGGAGTCAGTATAAAAGGGATGGGGGAAGACAAAAATAACATTGGTTCGAGGTTTACCAGTCCTCTCCCAATTTATTTCCCAGCCTTGGTCCCCTTTCTCCCCTCAGCCATATCTTCCATCTAGCCCTCTTCTCTTCCTTCCCCCACTTTCCACCATCCATCCTACCTCATGCACGCATCTGAACAGCTCCCAGTGGAAGGCAGTGAGGTGATTAGCAATATCCTCAGGCTCCACTCGGTGAATCTCTGTGTCCCCAGGGGACACCTGGATCTCCTCAGGGAGGGGCACCTAGGGGTAAGGAGCACAAGGGTGTCCTCAGGTAAGCTACTCAGGGTCATGATCTCATGTACATGGGTCTCCCCTTCCCCTTGCTTAGCGGAGCAGCATAGTAAAGCTGGAGGTGGGGGGCTGGGGTGGGGGTGAGGGTGGGGAAGTCTTACCAGTGCTTCATAGCAGTCCCGGGGTACAGGCGAACAAGTGGCTATTGATGCCCAGGGTGGTAAAGACACAATCTTCACTGGGCTGTAGCAGGACTTTCTCTGTAGACAAAACCCCAAACCCAGCCCTTCAATCCATGGTCTAGGATCTCAGGATTTCTGGTTCCTCTTCCTCACATCACTGAAGTCCCCCACCCCCACCCCCTGCTCCAAGTACATTGGGACCAAATCCACACTAGTAACACCTTTTACAGAGCTCTCCCTCTCTCAGAATCAAGGAAAACAATAAATAAAACTAGCAATAACTTGAGGTCAGTAACTGTTGGAGGGGTGGGTTGAGATTGACTTTGTATATCTAGTACCTAGCACTGTTCCTGGCACGTAGTAGGCACCTGGAAAAGGCTTGTTCATTTGTTTTAAATAATTTTTTGACATCTTTTGTTTTTATAGAAGCAGCTAGATGACAATTCATAGAGCTACTAAACCTGGAGTCTCAAACACTAGCTGTGTGACCCTGAGCAAGTCAGTTAACCGCTCTCAGCCTCAGTTTCCTCATCTATAAAATGGGATAATACAAACCTCTCAAGGTTATTGTGGGGTTAAAATGAGATGTTATCTCGTAAAGTACTGTGCACATCTTAAAGCAATATATAAATGCTAGCTTTTAAATTTTTTTTACATTGCACTAATTTTCCCCTGTATTTCTTCCCTCAGAAGGAAATCCCATATTAATAAATGCTTGGTCATGTGGATTGAATTGAATTCACATTGACTCAATTTCTTCCTCTGGAAGAAGATGGGAGTTGAACTAAATTATATCTTAGATGGTTAGCTACTTTCAGCTCCTAAAATTCTAAAATGACTAATCAAATGCCTTTTGGATGTGGGGATTTATCATATGTTAGCAGCAAAAATTCCCTCAGAACTTCTAGACCCCTGTCATACCATTGGAAGACTCTCAACCCAAGTAGGTGGTCTAGGACAGTGGCATCAAGCTCAAATAAAAATGGAGACCACTAAACCATACTTAAGGATTCTTGTTGCTGCACATTGACTTAGAAAACCACAGTGTATAATCAAATCAGTTGCTTGCCTCCTTGTGGAGAGGGGAGGGAAGGGAGGAAGAGAGAAAAATTTGGAATTGAAAATTTTATAAAAAATCAATGTTGAAAACTATCTTTACATATAATTACAAAAAAAAATATTTACTAAAAAACAAAGAAAAAAGAGAACCACATAGTAACATTGTCTATGTTCTATTATATTTTTTACTTATCTTAAATATTTCCCAATTACATTTCAGTCTGGTTTGGAGGCACTCAGGAATGGTCTGGCCACGTAGGACACCCCCTGGCCTGAGATGTACTAGGCTTATGGGTTTATATCAGACCTATCTGAGTTTCTAAAATAACAATAATAATCCATTTTACATTTGTAGCACCCTTTTCCCTTTTCTCCCCCCCAAAGCACTTTTCTCATTTTTATACTTTGAGTACCTTTTCAAGGAAGTGGGGTGGGGGAGAGTGAAGATTATTCTTCCCATGTTACAGATCGAAAAGTTGAGGCTATGAAGACACAGCAGGTTTAATGTGTTGTTACATAGGGGCCCTTTCCTGTGGCTTCAGCCTTAAAGACAAAGGACTCCCTAAATACCCAGACAGAAAGCAACCTGCCTAAGGTAACTCAGAGAATGAGATGGAACTGGATCCCAGTTCTTCTGACTCTAATAAGCCCTATTTATTCACGTCTGTTCTAGAGAGACAAATCTATCTCTGTACTGATACTTTCCCTATCTAGAATCCCTAGCAACATTCTTGTAACTCCATCTCACCCCTGTGCTTCACTCACCTCCTGAGGATGCCACAGCCACAAGGATGAGGGGGTCCTCACGCCCGGCTGACTCCTCTGAGTACTGCAGCTTCTCTGACACTGAACCCAGGATGTCTTGCACTGACGCTGATAGGCGGCTTCGGATTGTCACATATGAGTGGTCAGGCATGTAGACCCTGCAGAAGACTGAAAGGAGGAGGCAGAGAAGGGTGGCTGGTTAGAGGAGAAAACAGTGACCACATCCAGCTCTCACCATCTCCTCACCCTTTGCCACCTGGGCATTACATCTTTGGCAGCTAAGGAAAGGTACGATGGTACCATGACAAAAGGTAAGTCCATTTTATCACCTTCCATTGGGAACTATTCCACTGTATGCATGAGGAGGACTGAGGTGTGATATGAGGGTAGATATAAAAGAGAGGGTGACTAGGGCAGGGGGAAAAGTATGGGCCCTGGGGACAGGCCCAAACCCTGTTAGCAGGCTCCAAGACCTATAATGACTCCTCAGAAGGACCCCAGAGAAACCCAGCAGTATGGAACATACAACCTCCCCACCCCCTCCCACATACCCATAGCACTTACTCTCATCTGAGCCCCGAAAAGCCACCCGAGTTTGAAGACAGGAGTCTATTCGGCGGAAGTGACGAAAGAGTGGCTTCACTTGCTTGCTGGGTGGTTGACTCTCTTCTGGAATCCTGGCACCAGGTATAGCAGGCATTAGTGGGCACTGCCCCAAGAGAGGGTACACCACACATCAGCCAGCAGAGACACCAATCTAGGGGGTTGTGGCCAAATACACCCCGGGCTCTGAAACTGCTTTGAGGAAGAAGGCCATACCCTTCTAAGTGGGGTGAGGAGGTGAAGGAGGTGGTGCTGGTATAACTGATAATGCCAGGCATCTTGGGTCACCATTTCAAATAAATATTGACCTATCATTTAACAGCCAGGATAAATGCTACCTTCTCCTGGTCATCAGGTCTTTTCTGATTGTGCTAGTCTCTGAAATTCTGTAGCTCGTCCCACTAGTACCTGTATCTTATGGCACATGTCTTATCTTTCCCCAGCTAGAATGTAAGCTCCTTGAGGGCAGGAGAAGCATTGTGTTCATCTTTGTATATCCCCTGACCCTCACCCCATCAACATTCACAGTCCCTGAACACAGCAGGTATTCAGTAAGAATCTGCTCAATAAATATTTATTGTGTCCAAAGCTGATATATATGGAAGATAGGAAGGAAATAATCCTGGGTATAGGAAAAAAATTGCCCCTCGGGGAAACTCGAGTGATACCCATTTTCTCCCTCTCCCCTACTCCAAACCTCACTTAAGTTCTACTGTCTCCACCAGCTGGTGTAGTCTTAGGGTGTCCTCTCGGAGATCCTGGTAGAGAGACTCATCTTTCATGATCAGCAGATATAGATCCTGGGGTAAAGGGGAATTCAACACTTCAGGGATGAGGCTAGGACCACCACACCTAAGCCCAACCTCTTTTCCTTATCTCACACAGAAGTGACTGGGGAGGGAGAAGGCTATGGAGACAGAGTGAAAGGCAGAATGTGTGTACAGTATGTGTTTGTCTGGGGGTGAAGGGGTTCTATGTCTTCTCAAGTTACATGACTATTCCAAGCTCATACATATGAGTACTTTCTTCCCCAAGTATTTTTTTCCCTGAGTTCTCATCTCAGAGAATATTTCTTCAATAGGAATAGTCTCCCTTCCTCAGAGACCCTGGAGCCTCCTAAACCCAATCTCCTTTACTATACTTCAAAGTGGGGTGGCACCCACCTTAATGATTCGACCAGCGCCCTCTTCCTCCTGGAGTAATCCTTGGTATGTTTCCAGAAAGTGGAGGAGCACAGCTAAGCATGCCTGTTTCCGGCCTAGCCCCTCAGCTCCCTCAGTACCATCTGACTGAACAAAGCTGACCCTAAAGTTAAGGAAAATAGTACTACGAGACCAGACCCAAGGGTTCTACTCCTTCCTATCTTACATTCTTTGCCCACCCTTCAGTGAACTAGGTATTGGGGAGAAGAGGATAGATAATTAACTTCATAGCCCTCCTACACTTTGCCTTGGGTCTTGGTGGGTGGGAGAGAAAAGGGGTCAGAAGAGGTCCCCTTCACTTGGGGCCAGGATACCACACCTTCCCCAGCCTCAGCAACTTGCTCAGAGTAGGGAGGGGACATTCTCAGTTTTCATACCATCCAGTCACTACCAATTTGAGTTCCACTGCAGGCTACCCTGACTCTACCCACCTCACTTAGGAATTCACTTAGATCAGGGGCTTTTCACCTGTTTTATGGCATAGACTCCTTTGGAGTTCTAGTGAAGCCTTTGGCCTTTTCTCAGAACAAATGGTTTTCAATAACTGAAGGAAATGTTAAATTTCAGTTAGATGATAATTCAAAATAAAGAAGTAATTTTTTTTCAGGGAACTCTTCCTAGAATCTTGGGGATGCCTCAAGGGGAACCCCTGGGTTAGATTCTGATGGCCCAGCTCCTGGTGACAAAATCTCTGACAGGCTAGTTGGTGCCTCATTGCTTATAGCAGACCCTAAAATGACATACCAGGTGGTCCAATATTTATAGCAAACCTCACAATAACCCAGCAGGTGGCCTGATATTAACTGTAGTGACTTCTTCGTGTTGGGAAAGTGCCCCAATGATACACAACATGCCTACCTCTGGCTGGCTGGAACTGTTTCCAGACCCTCCCCAAAACTCCCAAAGAAAGGATATTACTGGTAGAGCTCCTGCAGGAAGCGCTCAGTAGGGAGGAAGAGCGAGTGAGTGAGGACAAAATCATCCAGCAGAATGTCTGTACAGAGATTGGCAGGGCAGGTGTCAGAAAGGCACCGCCTGGCCCAGGAATGCCCGAGACTGAGAATACTACCAGCTCAGTGCTGCCCCACCTGCCAGGGTGCCGAGTTCTCCCTCTCTACACCCTCCCACTGTAGGTCAGAGCCCCAGCCACCTGCCCAAACATGTCGGGCTCACCAAGTCACATATATGAACACTATTGCCTGGGTTAGTAATCACTGCAGTGGCTGGGGAAAGAAGGGAGGGGGGTGCTATGGCACCTTCATTTACTTCTCCTATAGAACATTTCCCAACTAACTCTTCCACTCATTGATGGAAATCAAGCCTGAGAGTGGAATGAGAATTCAGAGAAGGTCCTGGGAATGAAATATAATCTAACCTTCTTTAAGCCATGGAAACCCCCACCAGTACCAAGAAAGGAAATCTCTGGAACAGAGACCCCACAGTGAAAAGAGAGAGGACAAAATAACTAGCTAGCAGTTATGTAGTGCTTTCTTTACATATGCTATCTCACTGATCCTAACAACAACCTTGTGAAGTAGATGCTACTATTATCTCCATTTTACAGCTGAGGAAACTGAGGTGAAGAAAGGTGAAGTGACCTGTTTGAGGTCATACAGCTAATAAGTGTCTGGGGCAGAATTTGAACTCAGGTCTTTTTGACTTGAAGTATAGCATTCCATCCATTGTACCAGCTAGCTTCTTTAAAATACCAACTCATTGTCTTTCTCTTCTCTCTCCTTCCATCCTTCCTCCCCCTCCCACACTTCAAAAACATCTTCCAGTCACAGGCAGGCAGGCCAGGACCAGCCCTGTACAAGACGCAGAAGCAGAAGCCTGCCTGGCCTCTTTGATCCCAAAGCACTGAGTAGAAGTCCCATTGCCTCTGGGTGCCACAGGAGGGAAGGGTTAATGAGGGAGGGGAGGAGGAGTGGCCCTTCTTCCTCCCCATCCCAGGCCTGGCTCAGCCAGTCAACCAGGTACAAGGTCGCCCTGACTTGCAGCCAGTTTGGGGATAGGGCAGGGCCACTTGGCACACAGACAGGAAGCAGGGAGGAAGCCAAGTGTCCTAGCTGGGGCAGGTTCAGGGTAGGTCTTCAGACATTGCTCCAGGGAGAAATCAACCCATAAGATGGCTCCTGGAATACCCATACGGTGGCCCTTGGTCACTTGTGCTGCTGGGCCACAGTCCCTAGCACAAGCAGAGTCGTAGAATCAAAGCTGTAAGGGCCTGTAAAGATCTAGTCTAATGCCCTCATTTTAATCCAAGAAACATTTATTAAATTCTTATTGTCTTTCTGGCACTGTGTTGGGTATTGAGGATAGAAAGAGAGGCTCAGGGAGCCTAAAGCGCCCCCCCCCTTTCAACTGCCTAAAGCTCCAGAGCTAGTTAGTAAGAGAGCCAGGAGTGGAAAGAGGCCTCTTAACTCCTCAATACAGTGTTTTCTCTACTGCACTCCCAGAATTTCTCTAAGCTGGATAATGACCCTCAAAGAGCCTGAGGACCAGGAAGTTTCTGTTGATTTACAGAGGTGCCCACCTCATTCCTGCCTCCCCCCAGATAACCCAGGATGGTTGTAGCACTAAGGGCTAAAGAACCCAGGAGAGTTGTACATCAAGTTGGGGGTCCTCTACACCTCCCCTTTCTCTTATTATGTTAAAGCTGCTACAGCAGCCACCCCTCCATGACATACTGGTTCATCTTTCCCCAACTCCCTCCCTCCTATAGATCTGCAGAGCTCATGCTTGGCTGCCATGATGCCCTGCTATTTTACTGTCTTCTCACCTCCAACACATACATACTCTGAGGAATTAGCCTGATTGGAGGCCCAAAGTCAAAGGGTACAGACCAATACAGTGTCTGTTGTCCAGGCTCAGGTGTAAGAAAAAAAAAAAGTCGGCATCTCCTTCCTTTCCTACCTCAGTGGCCCCAGCTACTCTGCTGAACTCTGGGAGAAAAAATGAAGGTAAAGGGAGTTCCTTGGGCTTCCCTAGGACAGATACTAGGAACAACATAACATTCCTTCCAGACTGTTCAATTTGTAAGGGAACCAGGGAGAGAGAAATAGAGACGAGCTTATATGTGGGGTGGGGGCTGTCTGTCTGCAAAAGATGTGTCATATACATGCATACAGGGTGTGTGGCGTAGGCGAGAAGTTGCAGTTAGGGGAGCTGTGTGTCTCTCTAATATTTTTCTAATTAAATCAAAAAGGTGTCAGCTCCCCAGGGCATCTACAACCTGAGCCAAAAGGAGGGGACTTAGGTGTCCAGGAAACCCAGGAAAGGAATTACATTCCCCCTACTTGGGGTCCCTTGGGAAAGGATGAAGGGAGGGAGGAGACTGATGCTTCTTCATTCCTTTTCCCATATTCCTGATTCCCTCCCTCATTTTCTGGACTTCTTTTTGCCTGCCAGAAGGCTTCTTTACTTAACCCAATGCCACCCTGGCTTTTACACCCCGGTGACCTAACACCTTATTGCTTCTGGGGCCTCAGTTTCCTAAACTGTTATTAGAGGTAGGGGTGGTAGGAAGAACACCATAATTAGTCAAATAAAGACTTTCTTGGGTATATTTATATTAATGAGGCTTTATGTGGAGGCCTGGGACTTGGGGAGAGGGGAATCAACTGGAGAGGTCCATTTGACACCCCAAGTCTCCCACTTACATACCACCTATGCCCATAAGTAAGTCCATCCCTACCCCTTCTTATCTGCATCAATGAGGATACCTCTCTCCACCAGGGACCTTTCTGGCAGCTTGGTCATCACTTATGGCCATCTGACAGTGACCATCCAAAGGCACAGCCCTAGGCATCAGCTTTGGGAATTGCTAGACTGATCTATGAATTCCTCTGTGAAGTTCACTTCGAAAGGTGTCTTTATTTTTTCCTCTGGGGGTTGCATTGACCTGATTCTCACTTCTCAAGACCCACCCTAAATGACATTTTTAAATGCTAGGCCCCAGCTCTGGGGTGGGGGTGACTCAAAATCAAGGACTCCTAAGGCTCTGCAGATGGAATGCCTCATGGAAGAGGAAGGCTAAGTTCTGAATGGCATCGGGGTGATAGCCAGGTAGCATGGGATCAGACCCTTATCTTAAATAACCAGAGTAGACCATTCGTGAAGGGATATAGGTAGGGGTATGCTAACTTCTCTTGTACAGGAACACACTATAACCCTCCCAGCAGACACAACATGCCCATAGTAACTGATACCCTTTTACCCCCATTCGTGATCCATCCTGAGGCTTCATTCTCACTAGGGATGTTCCTCACCCCCCCCCCATCCCCAGCCAAAGAAGAGAAGGACACACATTCTCCCTTCTTTTCCCCTGCCTCAGGTCTGGTGCTGTAGCCTTGGCCAGTTGCTTACCTGAGGTCCCACTGTCCCTGGGAGCCCCTCCAGCCAGCCGCTCTAGGATTCGGTTCAGTAGATGCTCAGGCTGGTCGAGGGCCCCCAGAGGGAGACAGGGAGGTGGAGTGAGGGGCTCTCCTGGGGACAGTTCATCCGATGAGTAGGAAGAAGGGGAGCGAAGAGGCCCCCCTACTCCAAGTGGGCCGGGCCCCGGTGCTTCATCCAGCTGCAACCAGCAGGGTCCCCCTCCAACTGGCTCCCCAGCGGTCCTGCCAGCCTCTCCCTCTTCCTCCTCCGTAGGCGGCTCCAGCCCGGGTTCGGCCGGGGGTTCCCGGAGAAAAGAAGGGAGCAGCAAGCGAGATACACTTTGGCGTCTCTGCAGCTGTCGGGGTCCCCCCACTGGGCCACTACCTCCCGCAGGCCCTCCTCCCCCTCCGCCCCCAGGCCCGCCACACCCCCCAGTGCCCCCTCCGGGTCCTGTTCCTACAGCCCGCCCAGCCAGCTGCGACGTCTGCTTCTTCAAAAATTTTTCCAGCGGCTTCATACCCCAACCCCCCCGCCCCCGCCGGGACCGCCGGGAGGACCCAGGTGTCCGGGCCGCGGGCGGGGGGTAGCGCAGGGATGCTTAGAACCGAAATAGGGCAGATCGAAGGGTTGTGTCAGGCGCCGAGACCAGGGAGCAGTAGTACCCGTGGCTGGTTGGCAGCTGGCTGGAGTCCAATGTCCAGTGCCCCCAGGAGATGCCAGCAGGAAGAGACAGGCTCTCAGCAGCCCCCCATGCCTCTTCAAACGGTGCCGGGCCCAGGCGGGTGGCCCGGGTGTAGATCCGGTGCCCCTTAGCTCATGGGCCCCGGGGCCCGGAGGTTGCAGCTGAGGCGGCAGGCGTACAGCAAGAGCCGAGGACACCGAACAGGAGGCGGCGACGGCTGCGCTCCCGGCCCCCGGGAAGGTGGCAGAGCTGAGACCACGCCCCTTCGGGCCGAGACCCACCCCTGTTCCCTCCCAGGTTCGGCCCCCATCCTTGGACCCGCCCACTGGCTGCGCTGGGCCAAGATGTGACCCCTGGGAGAGATCTGGGACTGAAGTGAGGTCAATGCGGACAAGAAATGCCGTTCAGAAATAAATGGGGTGGGGGCGGCATGGTACACTACAGAGGCCAACATTTGTCTCTTTCCCAACCTAGACCCCTGAGTGTAGTCAGACTTCATTCAAGGGTGATCTGTGGTATAGACATCTACCCAACTTTCCTCTAGCTCTATCCGTCCAGGGCAGATAACTGACTGGATGTTGTCGTCTCCGTCCCTATTTTCTACTTCCAAGAGTATGCAGCTTAGGAAAACTGGCATGGGCAGGTTCTATCACCACTCCACACCCTCCTGACTGAGATCTCTGTGCAATAATCTCTTGGCTGTGCTGGTGCTGTCCAGCAGCAGGGCAGGGTACAGTGGGGTGGTGCCTGCTTGCTCTCAGAAGCCTGACAGGACACAATAAGGTGGTGCCTGGTTGCCCTCTCTAGGGCAGGTACGAGCAGATGAACAAGTTTTGGCAGGTCAGGCTGGCTAAGGAGCAGCAGCAGCCAGGTGGAAGAGACCAACAGCTCAAAGGCACCTGGGCCCAACTGGCAACAGGAGCTGAGACCCTGAATATCAGTGAGCATTCAAGAGTTACCTGTTTGTAGCTGGCAACAGCAGCTGAGGGAACAGCATTGGGAACACCCATTAGTTATCAGGCAGAAAGGGCTGTCTGGAGACTGCAGTCTTGCACTCTAATCGGTTCCATAAGCCTTCTACACATTAGAGACCTGATGCCCAAACTAAAATTCTGCCCCTAAGGTAAATTATGAAGGGCAGATTTTGGGTGTGTACAGGGTTAAGTGTGGGGATAGGCATTCCTAGGTTGTACTCTGTGGGAGAGGTGAGGCAGTACCAGCCCTGGGCAATGCCCCACCCCTGTTTACTGTGCCATGGTCTAGGGTGGGGCTGGGGAAAAGCAGGGAGTGGTGGTAGAATTGAAGTAGATGCATATACATGTCTATGCGTGTGCATGCCAGGGTACATGTGTGCCAGAACATGTTCACACAAATGCAGTCATGCACAACCATGTGTTAAGTGAATTTTTGAGGGAGGAGAGTAGAAGTGAGCATGTGTGGTCAAGAAGCTCCAGCAGCAATCTGCAGGTTGGTCTCCTCGATCCCTTCTGTAAGGACACCAGAATACCCAAGGACATTGGCTGCAATGGGGCAGCTGGAGTGGGCTGAAGCTCTGGAGGAAGCAGCTCTGTGTAAGCAAAGCGAGGGAGAGCTCCTCCCTTCACATGAGGCTGTTACCAGATTAATCTAGTTGCCTTGACAACGTCCCTGGGCAGGATTTGGGGCCGTCAGCTGCGGAGGGCAAAGGATAGGGATACAAATTGGTTTAGGAAAGGGAGAGAGCCTGGAGAATAAGACAATTCTACAACCTGGGGGAAAATGGATCCCCTCTACTCCTAACTCTAAGAGGAACCTAGCCCAAATTGGCAGCCTGCCCCTCACTTGATAGTAGTGACAAAATGGTTTCAAGAAAGGACATTCCTAGGATATGCCAAATCCCCAAACTAGCACACCTAAAGGCTCGACCCTTAGCCTTCCCAAAGGGGTTTGGACACGATTACCTAACACTAGCTGACCATCCACAAATTCTCTCAATTCTTTCTGCTGAGACACCATGCTGGGAGGGTGCTGAAAGCTAGGGGCTTTGCTGAGCTTGGGTTTCTTCTTGCCAGCTGGTTACCAAGGCAATGGAGAAATAGGATCTAAAGGGCTGGGAAAGCAGAAGAAGGGTGTGAAGCACCTCACAGTCATTCCTCCTTAAGTACAGCTGTTATCCTGAAATGCTCTCCTCATCCCCTAATAGGACACATGGTCCATCCCACAGTGAGCCAGAAAGGAAAAGAGTGAAGCTGGGGTTACTCAACAGGGGGCAGAGCTGAGAACGCTCACATCACTTGATTTTACAGGAAGAAATCATGGAGACGTTTCAGTCTAGGGATGCAGCCCCACAGCTGGGTCCAGGTGATGCCAGTTCCACTCCAAGGTACCCACTCTAAAGCATCCTACTGTACCCACACAGAATGTTAGTTTTCCATAAGGGGCAGTGAGCTGCACCAGATGACAGGGTTACTGTTTCCCCTCCTTTCGATCTGCATAAAGAATATAACTAGAGGGGGCAGCTAGGTGGCGCAGTGGATAGAGCACCGGCCCTGAAGTCAGGAGGACCTGAGTTCAAATCCAACCTCAGACCAAACACTTGACACTAGCTGTGTGACCCTGGGCAAGTCACTTAACCCCAATTGCCTAAAAGCAAAAACAAAAAAACCCAAGAATATAACTAGAGTAAGTGGATGGGAAAAAAAAGAAAGCCTTGCTCCTTTACCTCTGAAGGTGAGATTACCCCAACCCATACTTAAAGAAGACAAGGCAGCTGTACTGCCACCTGGTGACCAATCACCCAAAGAAGCATTCGAGACACTGGCCATACAGCCATCATTGGGTACACCAAGGACCCACAAAACTGACTCCTACCCTCTACCCTGAAGCCCTGGGAAGTCTCTTGGCAGCTCTCTGTCTCCCTATCACACCTGTCCACAACACTGGCATCCCAGAAATAGCAGCACGGTCAGAGAAGATGCCAAGTCCGGAGTCCATACATAGTGTGAACAGAATTCCTCACTTCTGTACATCTCGATTTCCCTGAGGCTTGTGAAAAATGATGTTGATTTCTCTCCCCACATTCAAAAACTAAGTATCTGGATGTTGCTTTAAGAACCTAGTCCAATTCAGTTACCAGGAGGCAGAATAGTGCAGTGGAAAGAGGGACATTTCCGGAGTTGAAGGGCCCGAGTTCAAATCCCCATTTCTGACATATGGGTCACAATCTCTGAACCCCTTACCTCATCTGTAATTAAATGAGGGATCAGACTGAGGTCCCTGCCAACTCTAAATCTATGATTCTTTGAATCCCTTCCCATTCCCAGTTAAGACTAATGCAAAACAATCAAGGTAGTCAGATTTCCCATCTAAAATTTATCATCAGGAAGTCACAATGTAGATCACAAATAAACACTCCTCAAAACAACAAAAAAATGAAAAAACCCAGAGAAACACATGGTTCAATAGACATAACCATCACAGTGTTATAAGGTCTGGGAGACTGGCCATGTGGCCCTTGGGCTCAAGGCAGCAAGAAGATAGCCTATAAAAGGGGCAACCACCAGTCAGCTTCTAACAGGGGTTTTTCTTAACTATGTCAAGTAGGAAGGAAATGGCTGAGTCCCATCCCCTCTCCCCACATATACATTTTGATTGAGCCCATGGCTAAGATGACTTGCAATGACCAAGCCAAGCTGTTGGAAAGCAGAAGAGACTAGATAAACAGTGACTATGCTGAGATGAAATGGCCCTTACACTTGGGTTCTGTAGTATGCTGGGGCCAAGTGGCCTCTGGCAACTGCTGTGATGAAGTCTTCCGCGGAAGCAGATGGGTTAAGTGGCTCTGAGCCCAAACAGCACCTGGTTACCTTTCGGCCTTGAGCTTGGCCGCTATGCCACTTCTTTTTTTTTAAATTGAAAGGGAGGCTACCAAAGTGTGAAAATAATTAAGTAAAACGTGCAGGGAACATTGCACACAGGTTTAAGGGCCAAATGAACGGGAGCTACTTGAGAATGTGACCCTTGGAAGCAGTTGCCTGGAGGGAGGCATTGGTCTGCAGCAAATGGGGGGGGGTAGGGGAGGAGGCCTAAGACCCTCCAGTTCTTCCCGGCTTCACTGCATTGATTTGCCCTAGGCACTATGAAAAGATAGCCCTAAGGATGGTTATGGGAGAAGAGGGAGGATACCATTACTCTTCCCTCCCCACTCCCAAGAGCACCTGATCTATTGCCTCTCTCCAAAAGTAGAGAAATTGCACCTATCTAAACTAAAACCCATCACAGCAAATAGTGGGATCCAAATCCCTAAAAGCTGAAAATGGAAGGTAGGGCACTTCTATCAACCCTGGGCCTTTCTCAATGCTATACTCTGCTGAGAGTTATGTGTCTATGGGGTTAGGGAAGAGTTAGAATTAAAAAACATACAACAAGAACAAGAAGAGAAACCAACAAAATCAAAGAAAGGCCAGCTCCTATGAGGACCCTGGGTGGGGAAAGAACTGGCTGGTACATTCATGTTCATCTGGGAGGGACATGGTAGAGAACCTAAAGGGAACCCAGAGGAGTTGGTAAACTGAATAGAATGAGTTCATTTCATTTTTTTTTTTAGGAAAAAGGAAGAATATTAAACAGCAAGCAAAGGTTTTTTCATTCAACATCTTAAACAAGAAAGGACAAGAAGGTGCCCACCATGGGAGGGAAGGACATTTCAATCCCAGGGCAGGATGGAAGGAGGGGAAGATCAGCAGCAGAGACATGAGCTTCTAGGTCTAGAGACAAGGGTATATGAGTTGGCTGGCTGACTGGGGCCTTCCCTGCCCTGAGTACAGACAGCCACTCCTGCTGGAGGAGAAAGGTGTCCTTATTTTCCCATCAAAGCCTATTCCCAAGAAGAGGAAAGGCTGCTTTTCATTCTGGGTGTGTAACAAGTCTGCTTGCTGATGGGGGCCACAATAATATCAGAGCACTCCCGGCAGCAGGTGGCCTGATGAATCTTATCTTCCGAGTTCTCACTTCTGCTGTTCTGAAAGGAGTAGGGAAAAAGGAAGAACCACCACAGCATTAATACACTTTCCTGGGCCAACCACAGGATGTTCTCAGAGAGCCAGGCAGACCACTAAAGAGCATACCCTAGAATGATGAGAATCTTGACATTAAACTCCTAGGACTAGCTTTGTTACAGTATATTCCAGGCTCAAATCTCCCCCTTTCCTGATAACAGGCTGACCCTTCTCTTGCCTTCCTTTCTGTATCCCAATCTTACTTCCCACATCATTTCTTCACTCCACCAGGTTTTGCTATGTTAATAACAGCCTCTACTTCCTCAACTTTGCCCCAGGGGTGCCCTAAGTAACAAAGTTCAAGCCAATTCAACAGGCAAAGTACTGGTGAATTCAAGATCCCTTTTAGTTTTTCCCCAGATTTACCAGCTATCCCATGAAACTCCAACTACAAAAGAGTATTATTAGGCATGTCTGAAAGCCCCATTTTCATTAGCAACAACAACAACAAAAGGCTAGTTAGTACAAGGTTTCTGTCTTTTAAAAAAGCAATAGCATGACAGTATTTCATCTAGTCACATTTGTACTTACTTTTCATGTGGTGTTAGATTTAAAGTATTTAGAAATTCAAATTAACTGGAACCCCTGCTGACAACCTGAAATAAAAAGCTAGAGTTTGGTATCAGGTGAAACACACCGAGCACTTTTTCCTAGATTCCCACCCAAGGACAGGGAAAGTACACTGGGGAAAGGAGGGGCACAGTGAGTACTGGGGTGATAGCCTAGGAGCTGCTCTACCTCAGGTGGTGGGGGTTTGATGGTGACTGGCTGGGATGCTCGCCTGGGGGGAGAAGGTTTTGGCTGCACCTGTTGTTGGACTGGATTATAATAGGTTACTCCTCCATACACCTGAGACTGAGCCTAAGGAGATAAAAAGAGATTAAAGGAAAATCAGTTGACTTAGACAGAATGCGGGCAAAAGGTGACATATAACAGAATCCAAATAAACAATCTTTAGGAATTATGGAAGGTTTCTAAGCAATCCCTTAAAGATGACTTAATTTTTGTCTCCTTAGGCTGTTTCCTATATTTGAGTTGTCCTCCTACTCCATCGAGATTATGTGAATATGGGACAGCTAACTGGCACAGTGGATAGAGCACTGGCCCTGGAGTGAGGGGGACCTGAGTTCAAATGTGACCTCAGACACTTACTACCTGTGTGACGGTGGGCAAGTCACTTAACCCTGATTACCTCAAAAGAAAAGAAGAGATTATGTGAGTACCACCTGCTTTAATTAAGATTCCCTAAAAGCCTCTGGCCAAGAATCTCAGAGTTGTAAAACTTCAAGTCCTACTAGTACCTAAAAAGACTTCCTCCAGTAAATCATTATGAATAGTCATTCCTCCTTTCCCTTGAAGAACTCCACTGAAAGAGAAGCCATTAACTCCCAAAGCAGCCCTTTCTACCTAAAGATAGCTTCTAGAAAGTTTCTTCTTATACTAAACCTAAATCCACCTCTCTGAAACCCATCCATTGCTCTTAATTCTGCCTTTAAAGGCCAAAGTAAGTCTCTTCCTTTCCTAATTATAACTCTTTAAATACTTGAAGAGGGGTATCATGGCCCTTTTCCCCTCCAAGCTAAATGTCTCCAGATCCTTCAGGAGGTCCTCAAATGATACAATCTTAGGCTCTTCATAACCTGATCACACTTTTCCGGGGGCTCTTCAGCTTCTTAATCTTCCCCAACTGTGGCAGCCAGTGGTCTGTTGCTAAGGTATGTATCAAATGGTCATTCCTTCTTTTGAAATTTCAAACGACTTTGTTCCTTGTTCCTATAGCATTTTATCACCATCCTGCCCTGTTCAATAGCTTGGTGTGTCTTATCTTCCCTACTAGATTAGGCTGCAACTGAGTCTTATTTATCGTCATAGCCATGACAACACCTGGTATGGGACATCTTGGCACACAGGTGTTTGATAAATATCTTGAACAAATATAGATGAGGAAATGCCATATAGTTCAATAGCGAACATTTACTAAATGCCTATTTATTGCATGAAGGGCATTCTGGCCCTGAGTGGATCTTGCCACTAACCAAAAAGCTTAAATGGAAAAACAACAAAAGAAACTGGACAGGGACTAACAGGTGGTACAATTGAGGAGGCTGGACTATCACAGATGTCTTAGTTCCTTAAAAATCCTGAGATTTATCAAAGAAGTTGCATCTCCTCATCATCAAGGGGAATGTGAGGACAGTGTTACAATTTGCTAGTCACCTTACCTGAGTATTAGGGTACAGGTGAGGAGGTGGGGGAGGGGGCAGGGCCCCTGGGGCATAGGGATAGCTGGGACTGCCGAAGTTCATGACACCTGGAGCGGAGAAGTAGGTAGGGGCAAGCAGCTGCTGGGGTGGTGGCTGTCCTGGGGACATGGACACCGGTGGGGGGTACAGACCCGGATTAGGCAAAGGTGCTGGAGTCTGATGGGGATGTAAACCTGAATAGAGAGAATGGAACAAATACTGAAGTAGAGGAAGACAATACTGTTTCTGTGATAGTTCCTAAATCTGCTGGCCACAAACAGGAATGTTCCTCTCCTAAGCTATTCAGGACTGTTCCAAGAGGCTAATTAGATTTTGCTCTCTCTCTCTCAACAAGTGGAAAAGGTTCAGGTCCCACAAAGCAGCCCCCAGGATGTCTCTTGTACTCTGCTCCTACAACCCTACCTGCTGAAAGGGAAATTAGAGGCATAAACTTACCAGGGTGAGGGAGGTGCATTTCTGGTTGTACAATCATGCCCTGAGGAGGCATCGGGGTAGGACTGTCACTGTGGGTGTAGATTGGTCCCTGGAACTGCACTGCAAGATATCACAGGGGGATTCACTAATAGGGATTCTCATTCCCAATGCCAGATGGGCAAATTCCCTTGCCCTCCAAACAATAAAGACTCTTGTCCAGATTTTCTTAGTGTTCCATCTGGGAAAACAGAACAGGCAACTTCCTGATGCCCACACTCAGGTGTTGGAGGGAATAAACTATCCAAGACTCTACTCTTCATTCAGAATCAGCACTTTGATAAGAAGCCTAGCTCTAAGAGATAGTCTAGAAACTCACATGGGTCATAGTAGTGCCCTTCCACGATACTGATGTGCACAGGGGGGGCAGGTGGTTCAGGGACAGGTCTCTGACGCTGGGATGAATATCGTTTGGCTCGACTGCCCTGAACGCTCTGAAAGAGAGAATACCAAAGGCTAGGTGAAGACTGGCTCTTATAGCCCTGTCTCTAGCCCCCCACCCCCATAAAAAACTGTCTAACAAACAACAAGGCCCATTAACTGGGGGGTGGGATGTGGGGTGGGGAGGAAAAAAAAGGCCTTTCCTGGACATGCCTGAGGCAGTAGAGAGTGAAAGCCTGCAGGGCTTACTTCGTTGGTCCTATCAATGCTACAGTTTGGATTAAAAGACTGCACCAAACTGCAAACTAAACTTGTTCCCCCGCTCTGATTTCCCATCCTTGTTCTTTACCATTTCTTCCATACGGTTAAACTGAGGTGGAGGGCCTGCTCCCAGGTGCATGTGGTTAGGAATACCTGAAACACACAAAAAACCTATTCATTGGAGAGTAGAAGACACAGAGCATTCTAGGATGATACAGGGCAAGGAGGTAGATGGGGAAGGGGTGGTGGTACAGACTCCAGCACTGGCAATAGCTCCTTCACTTTGAACTAGAGAAATCTCTTCAAACCATTTCTGCTTTCTGTTAACACTAGCATTAACAAATTTACCACTTTCTCCTGTTATCATGACATAGCAATGAAGACCTCTTGAAAAATGAATTCAGTGTCATGGCCAATTATGGAAATTTTTTTTTTTACTATATATGTTTTAATGTTTTGTTTTGTTTTCTCAAAGAGGGGTGAAGGAGGCAGAGAAGAGATGGGAGGAGAGAACAAAGACCTGAAAATATTTTGTAAATAAAAAACAAAATTGGAAAAAAAAGAAAGAGTTCAGTAAGGAAGCATACATTAAATCTTTTCTTATGAATATTTCACTGCAGAAAACCTTAGGCTGCAGTAGTTAGCTCATTATAAAAAACAGGCAAACTCTCAAGACTATCAGTTTGGGGGTAACAACTAGAAAAGGTGGGGCATGTTTGTCAATCTACACAATCTGAACACATCTTAGATCTGGAGGCCTTAGGTAGGAGTTCTACAGCCATTTCCATCTGGGGGAAATCATCTAAATCAGAGTAAAGGCTTTATCTAGCTCCTGATTGGTATGAAAAGGACAACTTAACAAAGAAGCACTTCACTCCTTTGCAAATTTTCTAGTCCCAACCAATATAAGGATCCATCTCTTGTTTGGGTGGGAGCTGCTACAAATCTCATCTGAAAAGTGAACAGATGAGGATTCCTAGATTCTAAACTGTAGTGAGGCTCTTTCAGGGACCAAAGAAGTCGCTCACATCCAGCCATCTAGTGGCCTAGGAAGGACTGAAATGACCACTGGGGGGCACACTTTAGCAGTGGGGAAGGCCTGACTCGTTCCTAAGCATGAAGATTGTCAGGGAAGGATAGGATGTTCCTCCAAAGAGAATTAAAAGATACTAACTCAAACTTAACAGAGCAGTTTCTGCCTTAGAGAACCAGGCTCTATCATTAGCTTAAAAGGGCAGAGACTCTTAGTCTTCATCCAAAGTATCCAATTACTGAGCTCTGAATACTAGAAGTGAATACTGTTAAACATCAATACTTTCTTAAAATACACAAGTACCATGGTGCTTTAGAGTACCAGGTTAAAAATGATTGCCATGGACACTTTAATCAGTGATACTAGTCCAGACACCTCATCTCCAAGATTTCCATGTTCCATCGTCTAACTGTTTTAAGGCAGAGCAAAAAGCTGGTCATCCATCCTTGAGTTACTTACCTCGAAGCTCCCTTGGCTGTAGAAACTGAGGTTGTCCTGGGCTCCAATTTTGTTCAGTCAGATTCAGTTGGGTCATGTCTTGCTCAAGTCCTTCTGTGCTGGAATCCACTGGGGCCTCCCAATTCCCAGTCTTTGAGGGTGGTGGTGGGGTAGCTGGGGGAGGTGGAGGTGCAGGGGCTGGCCCCTCCGCAGGAGGTGGCACTTCCTCTGCCAACTTGCTTGCATCTCCAGCTTTGTTTCTGGATCTTCTTGCTCGAGAGTAGGACTTCTTCTCAACTGGTCTGTCTGGAGGTGGTGGTACAGTTTCAGGGGCAGGAGGAGGAGGCTCTGAAGCTATTTCCTCTCTTTCAGGGCTGCCAAGCATATGGGAAGACTCCATTTCAGGGGATGGGTCCCTAGCTGTGGAGTAGTCCAGGCGCCGAGAACGATAACCATTTTCATGCCTGACGGAGTCATTAGAACGATTGTTATGTGGCCCATCGTTTTCTGCAGACCTAAACCCGGTCCTTCCTTCCTTGTAGCCTCCAGATCGAGAGTAGTTCCTAGATGTAGGCGTTCTGCCTGTACCAGCAGCATTACGATTGATGAATGTTCTTGGTGGCAAGGAGGATCCCCCAGAGCCCTGGTGACGGGGAGGCTTGTTTGGCCGGTCATTGCCCCAGTTTGGCTCTCTCTGTGGAGAGCTTCCAAACCTGGAAGAGTAGAATCAAAAAACCATTGAGACCTAGTGATGAAAGGGACTACCTCCTGCAGATTATAGGACCATATCTGCTCCAATGGTGCTATAATTTATGTCTTCAGGAATAGTGGCAATAAAGAACACATACCTCCCTACCTGAAAATGTTCAATAGTCCTTACTTCAAGCCATTCCTCACCTGGGTTTACGTATTCTCCGAGGTCTGATATCATCAGGGTTGTGAGCTGATCGAATATCGTAACCATAGAGGGCTATGAGCTCTTGCCGAGACTTGGGTGCTTGTTCATCCTCTCTGAATTTGTCATGTTCCCACCGGCCCTCATCCTTCCACAGCTTTCGCTGACGTCCTTTGGGTCTAGACAAAAAAGGGAAAGAATATTCCTGGCTTGCAAGGGCCTACCAAAGCTGAAAGACACTTTGAAGAGGCATGGTGTCTACCCTGAGAAGAGCTAGAGTATTTACGGAGAAAAATAAACATCACCTGGCTCAGTCTCCCAGCCTCCCAGTCAAAGCAGGTAAGCCTCCCAGAGATTAGGGCAATACCAATGCCAAGTCCCTTTATTAGACTATAAATTCTACAAAGGGAAGGACCACATCTTATCTAAACTTTGCAACTTTCTCAGGCACTTGAGAAATCTTTGTTGAATAAACAGTCCTTTGGAATATAGCCTGCTAGCTCAGCTGTGACATTTTAAAAGATGTAATTGTACAACATCTCAAGCCTCTCTAAGCATTTCTCCTAAAATAGAGAAGCAATTAGATCTAAGCAAACTCTTTTTGAGAATCCTCTTCCTAAGTGTTACCTGACTTCTTCTTCTTGAGTCTGGCCTCGGAGGTCATGCTCAAAGAAGAGCCCCTTCCTGGGGATGTAGGCAGGGTTCTTCCGATCTTCATCATCATCCAAATGCTTTGTGACCTTTTTACCCACCTTGTTTTCTACAGGTTCTGTGCTCTCCTACAAGGGAAGCAAAAGAGCTCTTTATTTCTCCAAGCTAGGGATAATTCACCTGGCCCTGAAGTAAAATGTCCCCTAGTGGGTACCTACTTGCCCGTCTCCACTTTGTCTCTCGCCAGTCACAGTGCCTTTTGGGTCAGGTTTTTCTTCTCCCTTCTCTTCTTTTGCCAAAGAATTAGCAGCATCATTAGCTTCTGACTTAAGCTCCACCTTGGAACTTTCCTCTTCACTGTATTCTTCCTCACCCTGAAAAGATATTGTCCTTGTTACCTCCTAAGGGGAAATCAAGAAGAACTTGTACCTTAGGAAACCAATCCTTTTGCTAAGCACCAGTAGGATAGTCAGTTGAAGCTGAAAGCTACTTTTCTTATCTCCTTGAAACACAATACTTCTCATCTACCAAACTGGAGCAGAAGCTTTATAAAAGTGAAATGATAGGTTTTGAGTTTTTTGGAATTCACTCTAGGAGCCGAGACATACTACACATTAAAGAATTATCAACTGATTAATTATCTCTCTAGATAAGAAGTTCTTTTCTTTTCTTTGGGGGGGGAGGGGAGGCAATTGGGGTTAAGTGATTTGCCCAGGGTAACACAGCTGGTAAGTGTTTGAGGCCAGATTTGAATTTAGGTCCTCCTTACTGTAGGGCCAGTGCTCTATCCACTGTACCACCTAGCTGCTCCCTGATCAGGTGTCCTTAACCTGGAGTCTGTGAACTTGTTTTTAAAAAATTTTTTAATAACTGTTTGTAATTCTATATATATATTTTATGCATTTAAAAACATTTTGAGAAGGGGTTCATATACTTCCCCAGACTATCAAAGGGGACCACAACACAAGAAAGGTTAAGAATGTCTGCTCCAGATCAATTAACTAGTGCTTACTCAACTGTTTTACCCAAACTTCAAACATAAAGCACAAATTCTCCCTTTTGAAATGGTCTAGAATATTTTAGTTAGAAAGAACAGATGCTAAAAATGTCCACAAAATGAGTAAATATTTACTATTCAATAGCACCATAAGTCTAATAGCCTTTCTGAAAAAGTCTCATAACTTTAAGGAGTTTTTCTTCCTACATGCAGGAAGACAAGAAGTCAGCTTTATTTCTCTTTATTCTTTATTCTCTCAATGGATGGCTAGCATCCATTTTTCTGCCTTGTACTATATTCCCTACCAATTCTCAGCCTGAGCTCTTAAAAATCCTGCTTAATGTACATGTGACCTTTCTCCACAGCACTCCAATACAGGGGGCCTGGAACTTTGCTTTGACTGGAATCAAATACCCTAAAATAGTATCTGCATGATTAATGAGGTAACTTTATTTTACACAGTCTCCAGTGTGTAGCAGAATGTCAAATAAGGTAGCTCTTTTATTCAAGAGTCAGAAACTAATTTTGTTTTCAAGATACAAAGAGAGGACACAAATAGTACAATGCTGAGGACAGCCCAAATTATACCACCAAACTGAAACCTAACTGAATCCCAAATGCTGCCCTGGGGCTCCACAGCTTTATCTTTCCCACTGGTCAGCACCTCCAACACTAAGAGTCAGCTCAGGTTTTCACATTTACAATAAATATCTTTCATTGCAAAGGCTTACACTCAAGGTACACACAAGAATCTCAGGGAATAAAATGAGCTATGAAAGCTGCATCTCATCATTATCACTGTGTAGATATGGGAAAAGCACTCACTGGACCTGGAACCAAAAATGACCTGGGTTCAAATCTCACCTCTGACACTTATTTTTATCTGACCAAGGGCAAGTCACTTATCTCTCTGAGTCTCAATTTCCTATCTCAGTAAAAGTAAGGAAGATACCTACTTTAGAGGATGAAATGCAAATATGTGTCAAGTAAAAGTATAACAGCAGAGGGGGAATTTGGAACTCAAAAGTTTGCTAAAATTTGTTTTTATGTGTAACTGGGGAAAAACTATTAAATTTTTAAAAAGCATAACAGCAAGACTCATTATTTTTAGCAAAGTTATGCTCAGAGAAGCCAGGCATGCATCAATGAATACTTTAACCTGGAATTCCTAATCACATTGAAGACATGCCCATGAGTGACCTCTGCAGCACTGAGTGAACACTCCAACAGTCAGAAACACTCAGATCATGCCATTACCAACCCCTCAAAGAAATTTTGAACCCTACGGCTCTCAAGGTGCCTAAGGTGAATAGTTTGGCTGGCAGAGGTCGGAATTGACATCACCAATAAGAGGGCTAACTTTACAGCAAATTAAAGCGAACTACCCAACCATCATAATGCAACAATGAAAACTGAGGAAAATCTGATGCTGCAAGGGCTCTAAGCAAAACACCTGAAAAGATGCTTTCATTATTTTATTTGTATCACTTTTTTTTCCAGTTGGAAAAGTTTCTATTCCTGCAAAATGAGGGGAACTCAGGCCAAACCTCCCTGTATAAGACCAAGTCAATTTCTGATGCTAAACAGTTTTTCTGAAGCACGATGGAAAGTTGAACAGAAAGGCAACACCATCATAGTGACAGTAGCTTTGTATACAATGGATAATTAGATGACTTGCAGGATTTGTAACAGAGTTGTATGCATACTCTAAAATGTTTGTTCATGTACTACTAAAGAAAAATGTTGCACTCACTTCTGAATCCTCTGCACTTTCATAATCCGAAAGAACAGCTGAAAGGAAAAAAGAAATCAGAGGTCAAACAAAGCATCTGGACAAAGCATCTATAAGCAAACCTACTGTCCACAGGGTGATCTAATAAAGTTGCAGACTTAGTGGACACAAACCCTCTTTGCCATTACAATTAAGTTCAGAGCTATCCAAAATAGAGGATGCAAGGAGCTTAAAATGAGAAAATAACCACATCTAAGATAGCAGTCTCAGGAAAAGTAGGTTGTTAAGAGGCAGGTAATTGGAGAGCAAGTTTGTATGTGGGGATGAGGTTGGTTATCATCTGCCCATTGAGGACAGAGTAGCCCCTACTCACCATCGCCTTCTATGCAGTCTTCACTTTCCTGGATAAAAGAAGACACAGGGTGACTGCTGGCCATAGTTCTGCACTGAAATTCCCTATTTCTACATTTTCCCCACCTACCTATGAACTTCCCCTGACAATAAAATGAGATATCTGTAAAGCACAAAAACTACAGGAATATTGTTGTTGTTGAGTACTGTCCCACTCTTCATGACACTTTTTGGGGTTTTCTTGGCAGGGATACTGGAGTGATTTGCCATTCTTTCCCAGAAGTTGTTTATTTAGTCTTGTCTCACTCTTTGCGACCCCATTTCGCTTGGAGTGGTTTGCCATTTCCCTCTCCAGCTGATCTGACAGATGAGGAAACTGAGGCAAACAGGGTTAAGTGACTTGCCCAGGGTCACACAGCTAGTGTCTGAAGTGGGATCTGAACTCAGCTCTTCCTGACAACAGGCCTGGTTCTCTATGTACTTCAACACCTACCTGCCCTATAGGAATGTTACCTATTATTATTAACTGTTATGAGAAAACAGGAGAACGGGGCAAAAGGTCCAGAAGGCGGAGGGGGGCAACAAACCAGAAGTCATCTTCAAGATGAACCTGTGGCTGAGAGAACCCGCGGAGGGGGAGAGGAAGGAACGAGGCAAGACAAATATGGGCACACTCCCTCCCTGCCATGGACTGGCAGAGAAAAAAACTCGACCTAGTCCCTTCGACCCACTGGCGAAATGAAAACTCCGCAGTGTGACACCTCTGCCTCTCTTCTTCAGGGGCCAACCCCCTGACCACCCCCCATCCCGTCCCCTCCCCCTCCCCGCAGGCCCCGCCCCCTCCCTCCGCCGTCCCCCCGCCCTCCGCCCCCCACCCGCCGCTCCTCGCTCGGCCCGGCCCGGCCCGGCCCGGTCCTGGCCCCGCTCACTCACACACTCCGACTCGTCGGGACTCCGGAGGCCGCCTCCCTCCGTCCGCCGCGAGTTAAGGCCCCCAGATCGGCCCCCGCGCAGCGAAGACGAGGAGCCTCCGCCGGCCCCGCCGCCTCCGCCGCCGCCGCCCCGGGAACCGGCGCTGTCCGAACCCGAGGCTCCGGACTCCTCGTCCTCCGTGTCCTGCGAGGCGCGCTGCCGCCGTCGGTCCGCCATCTTGCGGAGAACCGACCCCCGTCCGGGCTTCCGCGCTTCCTCGCTCGATCGCGAGTTACTCGATTCCCCCCCGCCGCCCGCCAGCCCGTCAGCCTGTCTGCCGCGCCCGTTCGCAGGGGCCGCTGGGAGACCAAAGCTCGGCGGAGGGGGAGAGCGGACGACACTACAAAACCCAGCATGCTCCGCGTCGAGAGCCCATCGTCCTGCTTCGCTTCCGGTCTCGTGGGGGCGCTCGGCTATTTGAAACCAGTGTGTTTCTAAGTGCCGGGGCAAGGACGAGTGGTGCAGTGGTGGTTTTGTGTGTGGGCGAGTGTGGGGGGGGCGGGGGAGTTGTTACTCGCAAGCCGAGCGCTTGCGCGTACGGGCCCCAGCCTTCCCGGGCAGTTTTTCTGCCTGCCAAAGAGGAACTAGCCAGCCTCCCTCCAATGCAGAGACCTCCCCGCCCCACTCCGGCCATCTTCTAAACCAGACTGTCTAGTGCTGGAAGCTTGGAGAAGCGATTTGCGGACTTTGAACACCGTGATCATGGTTTCCGTTTTCCATGACTCCCAGCCACTTTGCTCTGTCTGTAAAAGAATGCTCTAGCGTCTCCCCCTGAAAGCCATCCACCCAGTAGGGAGGCCAAAGAGGGTTCCAAGTGGCTTTGGTCTGTAGTCGAGCCGAGCCATGGTCTTAGGAAGCCCTGTTGTTTTTAAAGAACCCAGTCTCCCCTGAGATTATTTGCATGGATTTGTGGATGCACGTGGAGGTGGATGTCTTGGAGACCCTCCATGCCATCCTATTCCATATTCTTCCCCAGTGCGAGTCCACAAAGGCTGTGCAACGAACAAGGTGGAGTACTTTCCTTTTACATTTCATGGGTGCCATTACCCAACTTGGGGCTGTCCAGACTAGTTCAATTTTCCCTTTTTCCTATCGACCATTATTTACTGTATAGTCTTTATGCCTCTTCTTTAGGTCACAATTGGAGATGTGTGTGTGGTGGATAGAAGGCCAATCTTGGAATCTGGAAGACCTGGGTTCAAGTGCTGCTGCTGAGCCTCCCTAGGCAAACTTTTTTTTTTGTTTTCAGTTGAATAATAGTTGCTGATTATAGTGCTTTACAAGTTGTCACATATGATTTGGTCCTGATGATCAGTGAAGGGAGTTTGTCTATAAGTTTTCCATACAAATAAAGCAGTAGGTCTGGACCAAAATATGTTTCTTTGCCCTTTGGGTCACCTCCAATTTACCTTTTGGGGAGTACAGCATTTCTAGATTTAGAAACATAAAGCACCACTGGAAAAATATTCATATTAAAAAGTTTTTTGCACTGGGTAGCAGTTTGGGATTATTCAAAGCATTATACAAGTTCCCAAACACAACCTAAGGGACTGACCAGTTATAATGTGGACAAAGGGCATTTTTCATCCATCTTAGTCTGCATACATTGATTATTAGGCCTACCTCTTTTGAGTATTTATAAACCTCATTAATGAGGCTCTGAAATATTCTGAGACTTAATGTAATCAGCTCATCATCTGCAAACGGGAGCCTCTAGAAGACAGGATTCTCGTCCATTTGAACCTTACATAACACTGAACACCTTTAAGGAACATACCTAGATGGTCTTAATCTTGACTTAACTCATTAGATCACTGAACGGTGGTTTCTGTGGTTGCATTTGTCAAGTAATCTGATTCGATCTTAAACATAAATACAAAACACTCATATACAAAGGGAACACAAGATGAGAGGAATGAAACACATGCTGCACCCCTGGCAGCCAGCTGAAGTGGTACTTTTGTAAAAACAGGAAAAACAATGGCTGTTTTTTCTATTTTATTGTAAAAAAGGATTTTTTCAATTTTTTAAAACATACAGGCAGAAATGTTTAATACTCCCCATTAACACTGTTAAATCTAACAAACTGAAGCAGAAATTCAAAAAAATTAACAGCCACAATAGTTTATTTACAATTGAATTTTTATAAGATATTTACAAGACAACCAATTTTACACATCAGAAATGGTATCAAAAGTATGAATTACAACACAGACAACAATGTGTGAAATGGGTATAAAACAAAAAAGCTTAAGTGGACAGACAAGTTGCTTTTCTTTTAATTTATTAACACTAGCTTAAACTTGGTTAAAGCAAGATATTAAAAACAAAGAACTATGTTATAGGAAAGAATTGCAGGGCCTTCAGTTGAAGATTGAATTTCACAGTGTTGTATCCCATATAGGGAGAAATAAGACTATTTTTTCCCCACACTCTAAAAACACCCACTGTCAATTTAACTTTTGGTACTTTACTAGCCTACTCTCTGACCCTTTTCTCAGGAAACCTGGATGTGTGAGAATGAAAACAACTGCAGAAGCCTGCCAGTGGGGCAAGACACAAGGGCTCTGCAGGGCAGGGAGAACCATGGGAGCAGGAGCAGCTTCTGCCTGGTCAGATAGCACCTCAGGGATTCCTGTTACACTAGCTAGAATTCAGAATCCTGACAAATCCCCTGGGTAGGACACAAGCTGAAGGTCAAACTTGCTTCAACCAGCAGCTGAAGCAGGCCCCATAGTAGGAATTTCAGCAAAATAACAAGGACAGAAGCCAGGGAGAAACAGTGAAGAAGAAAGCAGAGGCATTGGCTAGTCTTCCTTTTCCAATGTCAGAAAATGATGATGGATCAGTACCACCAGGTGAGGTACCCAGCCTGGGATACAGTGATTGAAGAAAGAGCAAAGAAAAAGTACATATAAAGAATCTGGGCTGGTTTTTCTGGAGATCTCCCCTCCTCCTGAATGTTAAGGTGTTAGCTGAGGGCAGCTAGGGGAAGGAGTCCTACTTTCCTTCTATAACCTTGCTGCATTAACCTACCTATTGGGGTCAGTTGCAGATCATTCTTTCTCCTTAACAGGAGGAGTTAATGAAGAAAAAACCACAGCTCACTCCAACCCACCAAAAAAGAGAATAAAAGTTGTAATATCTTCCATGAATACTGTGTGCTGCTGGGAGAATATAAAAAAAATCAAACCCAAGGAATGCAGACCAACACCTCACAAGATGAACAGTGTAAGAAGTAGCTTTTCTCCTCTTCCTTCCAACACTGGTGTCCTATTCTATTTCCACTAAGGGGCTAGCCACACACTCTCTATTTTGACTTCTCCCCTAAAAGTGCTTATGGTTTTAGGTACAGCAAATTTCCTTTAAGGATCCAAGTCCTTCCGCCTTCACTGCATAGAGACTAGAAACTCAATTCTCACAAGAGTCCTGAAGGCTAAAACAAAAATGCAATTCCTATAGCTGAAGCCTTGGCTCTATCTCTCCTCCAGCTAGTACAGGTCTCTTACACAGTTGCCTGGGAGTGCTACCCTGAAACACTTAAACAAAATGGAAAAAAAGGAACCAATATTGTGCGTGTAGAATTCTATTTTCACAAAGAATATTCTATCAAGTACATCAATATGCGGACATATTTGTCAGCCAAATGAAGTACATAGAAGCATCTCCTCTCCCCCCCACCCCCCAGATCTTTACCCGCCACCAAGAACTAAAACGACAGAGTCTCAATAAGGAATACTTCAGAAGTGATCTGACATACGGGCATCTCAAATGCCTTGTTATTCAGGCTACCCGGTTTTATCGGATTATACTGTGAGAGTAGGGTGGGCTAGTAAATTAAATTAAGAGCCCATTCTCTTTACCACTCACAAGATACAAAGGCTTTTGAGGAAGACTGAGAGGAGGGGAGGAAGAAGGACACGGAATGGGACTCAATTTATTTACTAACCAAGAAAATAACCATAACTAAACTTCCCCTTGCCCATCCCTATGAGGATAAATCACACAACAGTTTAAGAGGATCCTTGTCTAATAAGCCCACTGGCTCCTCAGACCTCTTTCCACTCAGTGAGGAGGGCCTATTATGTTATTTTTCTCCACTCTTCATTTGGCCTTTAAGCTAACCTTGAGCCATTTTAGGGTGGATCTACACCACCATGCCCAATGCCACAGAACACTAATATATATCTTTTCTAGGCAAAGTTTGGCTCACCAAGAATCTCTATCTAGTGACCACTAAAAGTCAAATACAGGACCCTTTGAAGCTTCCTGCCAGAGAGGGCCTTGCAGATTAACTCAAGAACTCATTCCCAAAAGTGGGAAAGAACAAACAAAACCCCATCCCCAAAATAAGCCCAACAAAGGAGGTTTTGTGAAAACAGAATGAAAAAACAAAAACACCCAAACTCAAAGGAAGCACATAAGGGCATTATCAGTGAGTGATAACAGATAGGAGAACGCAGGGTTTGGGTGATCGTGTCACATACACAGGTCTCGGCCATTCTCTGGAAATGGCAGGCTACAACCATCTGAAGATAAAGGTCTCTTGCCAGCACCGCTATTTCCTACACGTCCTGTGAGGTGTCTGCTTTTTCTGGATCTCCAGCCTGCAGCGGCTGCGCTCATCCAACCAGGGCAGCTCAAAATTCCTAGCGAAAACAGCAAAAATCAACTGGCGGCACTGGGAGAGGAAGAGATTGAGGACAGGAGTAGAGGCACAGAGGAGAGTCACGCCAAGCCTTGACTTCTGCTTTCCAGGCTTGGTGTGAGTCTTCTCCCTCAAAGTCTGCTGAGGAAGCCAAGTAAGTGGAGTTTCTATTTCTAACTCAATCCTCCTGTTCTCTTAGGGACTGTGCAGTTCCAATAGCCAATTTCTAAGAGGAGAACCACAGCGCTTTGCCCCACCTTATTTATATCTCACCAGGCTTTTGTGAGGTACACAGGGGAGCTGGATTACCTGAGCTGAAAAAGAAAACCTGGATTTTCCTGGGATAGCAATGGAAATAAAGCAGGTGCCTATCAAGTGGGCAATGGCTGGACATACTGTGTGTATTATGATGTAACTGAATATTACTGCACCATGAGATGAATGTGAAGAATTCAGAGAAACATGGGAAAATTTGTACGAACTGGGACAGAACAAAGAAGGTAGAACTATGAACCCATATAAATAATAACCACAATAATGTAAAAGAAAACAACACAAAAGTAGCCAAACAGTAACCACAATACACAATCATGGTCCCAGAGGACAAATGGTGGACTATGCTTCCTTCTT